AGAATCATAATCCTAAAATACCAGGAAGAGGAACATGAAATATTACAGAAATTTGAGTTTTTAATTTAGCAGAAAAACTAACAAAATCAAGAACCAAATCTTCTAAAAAATGTTTTTTGATTTCACAGTCGACGCAAAATTCTTGATCAGTTTCGATATAGTGAAAGACACTTTTGAGATGTTTTTTCGAGATTAGTATTAAAGATTGCTCCACACAAGAGGAGATGGCCAACATAAAGTAAATCTAATAAATTTCCAATAGCTTGCCGTATATACTCCTTGCACCGTAATATGAGTTCAATACAATTTTTGTTAAAATTAAATAAAATTCACAAGAGGAGATGGAGTCACAGAAGTGCTGAATTAACAATCAATTAGGTACCTTTTTATTATCAAATCTGATACCAAAGGTTCACAAGGTACCCTTTAATGCGATGTGTATTCAAGCGACGATTTTGCTGGCTTAGGTTTCAGTTGTTTCATTTTCAACACACTATCTTAGCTACCGCGCACTTTGGTGTTTTTATCATTGGCAATCATTACGAAACATTTCAAATACCTAGGTAAGTTTTGATATCTACTATTTCTTTTTTGTTTTTTAGATTTTTTCTACAATGAAAGACGATATGATCGAGGTGATTCATCTAGATGATGATGAAGACTGTGAGGTCCAATACATTAAAACCATAAAAAACAAGACCAGCAGGATAGCAAAGAAAGTGTGATTCCAAAAAAGAAAAATTTGCCAGAATGTCAATCTCGAAAGGTGCATTCAAAAATCTACAGATTTTGATGAAAAATAAAATAGTTTATTGAGCAAATATGTTTATTATAAATGAAGAAATCTTGAAGAATTTTGTTCATAGGTTCAATAGATAAATATTCATTTTTGATCATTTTACGCATGAGAAGTACCTATTTAAGTCATTCAATCAGCTATGCACAGAAACATTCCCAGGCTTAGAACTTCTCAATCGATTTGAGTAGTGTCTCACTTCTTTGCGAGGTCAGCGTTGTCCTCGATTTCGGGCAAAATCAAAACATCACTAAATAAAACTTGCATTTACTTCTCTATTTTGAAGACATTTTCGATATCTACTAATACTGAGGGAAATGACCTTATCACTGTAGTCACTATTGACTAGAACTAGTCACTATAAACCAAATCAGTATGTTTTTTTCAATGTTTTTATTTAAATCTTGTTAGGTGAATCGTATCCTTGATTGAGTCACACTTTATTTAATCAATTTTCCGTCAACATTTTGGGATCAACAAAAGGGCGCAAAGAAAAATGACCTCAACATTGATCTTTCCAATTTTCTTCCAATCTTTTTCTTCTTCTATTGCTATTGTCTCTAACTATTGATTTTCTCGTTGATTACTGTTGCTATTAGAAGACAATTTTGCTTTTATTTCACAATCATGACTACCAACAGCTACTTTGTATTCCAATAATGTGCATCGTCAGAATAATCTAACTTTTCATCGTTTCATTTTCTTTTTTATTTTTCTTGTTTACATTTAAAGTGAATCATTGAAGCCTCATTACTTATTATTAACACACAAAAACGTCAACTAGAAATGTTGAACAAGCTCATCTATTTAGTAAACTTTTAATGGTTCCTTTAGTTTATTTGTCAGAAAAGATCCTGTCTGGTTTCAAATTAACCAAGCAAACTTGCGCTAAAAGCAATGAAAACAGAGGAGCTTTTGAAGAGACGAAAAAAAAGTAAAGTTGAAACGAAAGTGAAAAAATTGAAAATTTTCTTTTCGTTCATGTCGTCTTTATAAAGAGAGGTTTACATGATGAAACTGATGTTTATATGGTTCATTTCATTTTCATCTTAATTATTATCAACTTGTGATAAACAAAATTCAACGTTATTCATCCATAACAGGTAAAGACAAAAAGGTAAACAGAAAAGTTGAAGATGAAGAAACAAAACAAGAAGGAAATGCAAATTAACATTTACAATGGAAACTGATTGAATAAAGTTAATGTACGAATGAAAACAAAAAAGGCAACAATTGAGCTCAACTAAACCATAACAATTAACTTGATGAAAGGTAAAGATTGAGATTGAAAGAGAGGCAAAAAAGATTCATCTAATTGGCATGGAAAAGCAGGCTTTTCGTTGGAAACAAAAGAAGCACGCAAATCAAACAGAATATTAGGTTTAAATGTGCATGAATCGAGAATGAAATAATTGAGTGGAAAATGTAACTTCACCAAACGAAAAGAAATGATTCTAAAAAATAAACTCGTAAGTGCAATCACTCAAACTGAATCGATCATTTTCATTGGTAAAAACGAGTTTGAATCGATTGAAACTTGAAAGTCGAACTGAAACGAGCGAAAATTTTCATTTGTTGTTTGATTACAAGTTTGATGATCAGTTTAATGATGAAGTGAATGAAAAAGTTGTGAAAATGCAACAAAATGAGGTTCATCATTATCATCACACTTTGACACAAACCAAAGTCATTCATTCTTTGTGATTTTCAACCTTGAATTGGAAAACTTTTTTTTCAAATTTCTTCTTCTTCTTCTTGCCTTCTTGCCTTCATCAGTCTCATCATCATTTTCAGCCTCCCTGGAGTGTTCAATGCTTGCTTTTGATGTTGTTTATTGTTGATGTTCAAAGATGAGAAGTCATTTTTCAACAGCATTTGCAGGACATTGAATCATCATTATATTGATTTTGTTTTGGCCGGTTTACTTTTCAATGGTAAAAACAGGAAAGTTATACCAACAAAGATGAACAAAAAGCAAGGAGAAAAGAGATTCTGGATAAGGATGAGAATGGTGATCAACGATAATAATGATCATCATGAAACTTCATCATGTCCAATATTCTTAGAGTTTTCTGCTTTTCTCTCCTTTCTTTTGTTCTCCCATTTTATCGACTCTCAATCACTTTGTCTCATCATCTTCTCATCATTATTTAGTTTGCTTTTCCTTTCATCTTCATGACAATTTCATCTTCAACAGAGAAATGGCTACATTTCGATATTGTTAATTACAATGTTGAGCCAAATCTTATTGTACCTAATTGATCAAATGTCTTCATTGGTTCATTTTTTTGCGCTTTTCCTTCTTTCTCTTGCCTTCAGCTTTTTGGGTTCGATTGAGAAAAAAAAGTTTCTCTTAATGATTATCATCATCAACATGATAATTAGTGTACAACTGGACAATGCAAAATGTATTAGCTTGTAAACAATTGTTATCGTTATGAAAAGGTATGAATTGAATTGGGTAAAAGCTGGAAGACTTTTGGTGGTTGATCGAGAAAGACAATCAATAGACAAAATTGTGATCAAAATGATTGCATTACTGTCAATTTTAAAATGCTAAAAATTAGCTAAAAGCATTTTTGCTTCAACATTAAGCGTCTCTCGATATTCGTGTTACAATTTTAGCTTAGGTGCTAAAATTTTTGCATTGATTGTAGTTTGAACCAGTTTTCTGTATCATTTTGTGTAACTTTTTATAATGGACAACATCACGAAAAAAGCTTTAATAGTTGGTGGATTTTAACTTGCTTATTAAGCTGGTGAAATGAAATCCTTTTAATATTACATCCAATCAACCACAGGCAATGACAAACCAATTTAATTGCAGCTTTGTGTTGTTAAGTCTGGTTTTAATGTTAATCTCTCTAGATGAGCTTAATTTCAATCTGCTTGATTGAGAGGTTGTTCAAGCACACTATTTTGAAGACAAAACTTAAATGTTCATTTACTCAACATTATTTGAAATCAAAAATTTTTAAAACAAATTGAGACAAATAACTGAATGATGATGAGAAAATTATCACACAATGTTCACATATTTATTTGACCTCCAAACGACTTCTAACTTTTGAATAGATTTTCCCGCTAAAAGAATCTTTAAGAAAGCTCTGAATCTTCGAAAAGTTTGCTATTCGTGAACTCTTGTACTATTGGACAAATGGAAGTAAATAAGGCTGGATAGTGCTGCATATAAAATAACAAATGAAATCTGTACAAATTGATTTATGCAAGAAAATTCGTATTCTCATGTTAAACAACTTTCAACTGTAATCTGATTCTTCGTGTTCATCATTTATTTATCATAATCAGAGTTATTAAATGTACTACTGTGCTTTGTATAACAACAATGCAAAGTACAATATTATGTATTGGTAGTCAAAGTAATGATAATGTTTAAAAGGTTCAACAATTTCAAAGTAAATTCAGTTGATGAACTTTTCGCTTTCTTTTTCTCTTCTCTCACTTTTCCATCATTTCAAGATTTTATTACAATTATTATCATCATTATCATTATTTATCCATTGAGAAGAATGCAAAATTTACTCTCTTCAATTATCTAAAGATGAATGTTGAAATGTAAATATTGAATGCATTTATGAAGATGAAAGAGGAAAGGAAAAAGGAAAAGCAATTTTACTCTTTCAATGAAAGGTAAAAGGTATGCAAGATTCAAATGTAAATTGATAACATTGAATAATATCAAGACTTTTAACACCTTAAACCTGTTATTGGAAAGGCAAAACACATTTCCTAATCTTTTGATTGGAACCAAAGAAAAGTGGTTTTTTGTTTGCAATTTTAGTAGAAAAGTGTTTTCATTGATTTCAACTTGTAAGGTTGAACCAGGTTGATGATGATGAATGATGATAAAGGTGAAGAAGACAGAGAAGAGAGGTGAACAAGATTAGAATTGATCAAGAATATTGATTTGAAATTCTGATTTGAATAACATCAACATTGAGTGTTAATCGTATGCAACAAGCAAAGTTGAATCTCATTTTGAAAATCACTTTGTGTTAGTCAATGAATGGTTCAATGAATGAAAAAATAAATTGCAATCTTTTTTTACCTGAAAAACATTCCATCAATTCAATGTTAGTCGAATTTCGTTTTTTCATTTTAATTTTTGATTCTCATTCTTCTTCGTTTCTCTTTCCTATGATAATGTTGACTTTGGTTGGTTACATTTTTCATGTTGACTTACTTGCAAATGGAACTGTAATTATTACTGATTTCACTTTTCGCACAACCATCAAGTCAAGTGTCCATTCTCGAGGTTTACTTCGACGAGTGTAGAAGCAGCTTCTTGGATTGTTGTCTATTGCCAGTGAAGGTGGATAAAGTTTGATTGATTCAGGCGATGAAGCTTCGCCATAAATTTGCAACGGCGAATCTAAACGGGTTGGTCAGGTAAAATAGAAAATAAAAATTTAGATCAATAATAAATCTTCATCTGGAACTTTTCTGTTCATCTTTATGTGCGAACTGAAAGATTTCGAATTGAATGAACATAAAAGCTAATTGTTCAGTGATAAAAGATTGATATTTATTTGATAGATTTGAGACACTTTGCTTGTCAGTATGTTTTGGATTTTCAAAAAAACCAAAGGCAGTGTAAAATATTTTTGCAAAATTTGATTGAATATAAATGGAAATATATTAATACAATTCATGGTCAGGAAAAATGCTTTAGATTCATGTGTGGCCATTATTTATCTAGCAAAGTTGAAAGATGTATTGAGCTACCTGATGCTTGATGGATTCAACCACCAGGACCTTTGAGACTCTAAATCTTTGCATCAGTTGAAAAACGGTCAATCAATTTCAATACAATTTAACTTTAAAAAACATGTTTATAACAATGAGTTATTACCAAAGTCCAATAATCTGTACAGAATCCCAGACAATCCCTCTGAGAATCATTTCAATCAAACAATTGGAATCGGAAAATCAAATTCTGAAAATCCTGTAATTTGCAAAAACTATGAGAAAAACTTGCATTTGCAAATGTTCAGAAACTAACCAAAAGCGTCTTAAGTCTTTGCTACAACTGCAAAATCTGTAAATGGCAGAAAGGTTAACAATTTAATAATTAATTCTGACTGGATCATAAAAACTGAAAAAGTTTGATTTCTTAATGCAAAAGGCATAAGTTCGAGTTTTAAAGATGAAAACATTGTTAAAGTCTAGTGAATAAGTAAAATATTTCAAAGTTGATCAAAAATCTTGGCCAAGAAAAGTAGTGAAACAAACAAATGAGACTTGAAATTGAGCTTTAATCAACCAATTAACAGACTAAAGGCCATTTGGCCATGATTAATCGACTTGATGTTGAAAATTGTAACCAAAATGTAATTAAAAAGGCAACTCGAGTGATTAAACTCACCACAAATGGGTAAATTTCCAGACCATTTAGTGTTGTTTAAACAAGTTCGTGAACCTCGACCACGAAGAAAGTAACCCTTTTCACAGGCATAGTTAACAGCGTCACCATAATTGTAGCTTGATTCCGATGTAAGATAACTTGATGACAATAACTTACCATAAGCAGGTCTACCAGGATAACCACATAAGCCTGAATAATGAACGTAAATGTTGGTTTAAAATGCTAATCATTACAAGGTGGATGGCAGAAGGTGCAACTTACAACTGGCACTATTGATAATCCAACACAAATGAAGGGCAACAATTTGAAGGAAACTCATAGTTACTTGAAAATCATTTGGTTCAACTTGGCGACACAAATTTTCCTCGAACAAAAAGAAACTTCAATATTTATCAGAACTAAACAATTTAACAAATGAACATTTCCAATGGCAAATTGCTAGAGCAATTAACTTGAGTCAAGTCACAAGTTTAGAGTTTAAAGGTAAAGTTTTGCAAAAGTAAACTTTTCTAAATAATTTACTGTTTGGTGTCAACATTGAGTAGCCTGGATCAAATAGTCTAACTGAATCTTCAATGTTTCATCTCTTTCTGTTCATCAACTTTTACTTGACCTTTACAATGGTTATTGCACGGTTCTTTGATAAGGTACAAAAGGATCGTTGGTTCGTTAAAGAAAGTAAACAGGTAAGAATAGAAGCAGACAGAGACAGAGAATGATGATATGAATGGTATAAAAAGATTGAGGCTTATTTTTAAATAATGATAATCATCATCTTAAGGAGTGAAAAGGTAACACCCAATGTATCCTGCCTGTTTGGTTATAGTTGAATTTACAATTAAAAGTAACTTCTCTTGAAACCAATTTGATTAACTTTTCCAGGTTGACAATGTGCTTCAGACATCAACTGATTAAATCAATTCTGGATAACAAGATATTTTTATCACTTCTTTTTGCTTCATTTTCACTCCAAGACTATTATTAAATGCTAAAAGTGATAGTTGTACAAAGAAATGGAAAGTTGAGATTATTTTGGGTAAAAAATGTAGACCTTTTTGACGGATTTCTCATTAAATTTCATGTTTCATGTCAGCTTTAAAAGTCTTGATTTCATGTTAGGTAAATGTATAGTTACTGAGTAAAAGGTTTTGCTGTGTTTTACCGAGTTTAGTTGAAAATTTAATGAATAAAGGTTGAAAGGTTGACAAAAATAATGGCAAAAATTGCCAGTTTATTGAAGAGTTGGTCAAAAGTAAATGTTGAGCTTTGAAAAATTTTCTGGTTTTTAGGTTTCTATTAATTTTTGAGTGTCTAGTCGAGCCATTTTAGTGTCAATGAGACTTTAGGTTCAGAGTTAAAACAAAAATATTTACTTTAATCACTTTGAATTGAATTGTCTTTTTGAACATTTAAATTGGCAGAATTTTAATTTTCTTATCCCATTGAGATTGGGTTAAACATTTGCAAATGAAAATTTAAATGAAACAGTTGTCTGTAAATCACAACAATCAGAGTAAATAAAGTGAAATAAAAGTGCAGAGATGTTAGTAAAGACTCGTCTTCATCTTAACCATTTTTGTCAACTTTTTTTGGGTTTGGGTTCTTTTGTCTTCATAACCATTACTTTACGTTACGCATCAAACTATCCACTAATTTTACTGAACAAAGAGAAATCTTTGCATCTTCTTTTCTTCTCTTTCTCTTCATCTTCTTCTATTTTCCTCTTATCATCATCGTCTTCTTTTCATTGCTCAAAGACAAGAATGAAAACACTGAAAATAACAGCATTTGAAAGTGTCTCTTGCTCTTAGTCTGGTAAGCGAGTCAAAGGCATCTTGGGATGGTTAGCACCAAGACAGTGAAGAGGAGGATTGAAGGATGAAAGTGTTGGGAAATGAAAGGATAAACAGAGCTGGTCATTTTTGGTGAACAACAAAAGACAATATAATGAAATGAATGAAAGTGGTCATGTTGGTAATGTTTTTAGGTTAGACTTTGTTCAGTGAAAACAAGCTTTTATTGTCCAAGAGTTGAAAAAAGGTAAACATGGATAACCTTTTCATTTTATTTTACTAATTTTTTCTTACTTTTTCGTTCTTTCCCATGATATTGAACTGAAAAAAAGGTAATCCAAAAATGGACTGATTTATAATTTAATGGAGTAACAATTATTTAAGATGTAATGCTTATGTCAACCCAATGGTTTGTGTCTATTGTTAACTGGTGATGATTAAAGTACAGATGGATAGGCAAATACAAAGGCGAGTCAACTTGTTGATGGAAACAATTAATTTCAAATTAGATGAATCTTTTTGTTGTCACTAAATTAGTGTTTACTCTTTTTTTGTCTCAACCTTTTTTGTTCATTATTCATTGTTTTTATTCCGACTCATAATCCTTTTCAATTGATTTCAACTGTTTGGTTATCATTTGAAATTCATTTTTGCTTTCATGTGGAAAAATTCAATCAAATGGAGATTTATCAATCTCATCATTCATCTGGTTACTTTAGCTTAAAGCTTTAGGTTTTGGGTTAGACTTTGATTGGATGGTTATAAATAGTTGAAGGAAGATGAACAATTTGGTTTAAACCATTTGAAATTATTTAAAGCAACAGTTGAGTTTGAAATTGAAAGATAAACAATAAAATGAGAAGATGAAAACTGAATGAAAACTGAATGTAATTAGAGTTTTTTTTGTAGGTTCATTTCCTTCTGGATTATGCCTGGTAATATCTTCCTTCAAAAGATGTTTATGTTTTGGTAAATGGTTTACTCATCATCTTTGCTCATCATCATCCTCACAAAATGTCTTTCGTCTGTGGCTGGGTGAGAAGAGAGGAAAACCTAAGAGAAGCGTTTTTTGGCTGTAGCTTTCAATTTTGAGTTGTTAACCCAATCCTCTTCCAGGAATAGCTTTTCATACCAGCTTTTTGGTTCTAAATAGTGTAAAGCTTGAACCCATTTTAATCATTATGGATAAATTGATTGTTTTTACTCTTTTTACGTTCACTTTGATTGTATTCACAGTTTCCCTAGATTGTCCATCTAAATGTGACCCATCAAAATGTCCAGAACCAATAGACTGTTTTGCCGGAGTAATCAAGGTTAGTTAACCATCAAAACTGGATAAACAAAGAGTAACGAATCTTTACAAGTTCCATTTTATATTGTGCTTAAGCGTTAGTTTAACCATTTGTCTGTGTTTCATTGAAAATTTTTGATTAATCTTCTCTTGGATTTATCTTTTTTATCCATCTTTGGGTTGATCCAGGATCAATGCAATTGCTGCTCCGTTTGTGGACAATTTGAAGGAAATAGATGTTTCGATGCTAAACTTCAAGGTTTAAACAAATCGTACCAATTATATGGAGCTTGTGGTGAAAATCTGGAATGTAGATTACGGAAAGATCTTGATCCAAGTGAACCAGCGGAAGCTTTGTGTTTCTGTATTAAACCTGAAATGGTTTGTGGCAGTGATGGTGAAACATATGATAATATCTGTCAGTTGAATGAAGCTCGATACAAAAGACGCGATGGATTAGTAGCTTCAAGCAATGGCCCATGTCAATCAGGTAATGAATTGGATCTGAAAGTGATCTAAAATGTAAAATGAAATGAAAACTGATTATTAATTGATGATCTTTTTATGATGGAACAAATTTAGCTCCGAAAATTGTTTCCAAACCTGAAAATTATAACGTCTCTTTGGGTGAAAATGTTGCCTTCATGTGTCAAGCTGTTGGTTGGCCAGTTCCAGTTATCCAATGGAAAGTGATGCTTAGAAAGACTCATGAAATTAAACGATTCAATTCATTGACCAACAATGATACTCATATTACCATTCAAACTCGCGATGGTTTAAAACCATTTGAAATGACCAGTTGGCTTCAAGTTGTTGGTATCAAAGCTAATGATGACGGTGAATATCATTGTATTGCCTCCAATGAAATGGGTGAAACCTTTGATTATGGAGTGTTAATAGTCAATGAAAAGGTTGATCAACATAAATAATGATTTAACAATAAATATTGTTGTTCACGGTATTGAGCGCGTTTGCTTTTCACGATTTTGATTGAAAAACTAAATTATTTTCAATCAACCTTTTATCACCTTTTTCTGTTTCTGTCCTTTGTTTCAAGTCAATTGTTGATTGCCTAAAATTATATAAAATTTATTTAATTTTAATTGTTGGTATTGCTTTCACATATTCACTGTTCAATCATAATGGGCACTTTTTCAAGCAAAGCTAACAATATATCATTAGACAAGACATTTGCTTAAAAATGGCGTTTTCGATTAGTCAAGCAAAATGTACAGATTGAATCCGATTGTTTGGGTTGATCTTCCAATTCAAAGCCAAAGATATTTTCACCGGTCAGCTTTTTCTTTCTCAAGCATGGATCATCAACAAAATATCCTGATAACCTGGAAATATGAATGAAAAGAAAATGAATTTCAGTGACTATTCAAAATGAATGTATTTAATTCAATAATAAATGTCGAAAAGAAATGTTAGCCTTACCTTGTTATCCTTAGATTGTCAAGATGTCGTATATAAGATACTGCTAGTCGAAGAGTTTCTATTTTGGACAATTTACGGTCTGGAGGTTCAGTGGGAATCAAATTTCTTAAACAGGTCAAGGCTTGATTTAGGCTTTGAGTCCGATTTCTTTCCCGTCCATTGGCCACTTGCCGTTGATGAGGCTCTTCATAAGAATCAGCTAGCTGGTTATCTAGATTAACTGCAAACAAGTCAACATCCGATTGAAATAAACTGTTGAATCCTGGCAAATATTGGTCCATAACTAAATAATTTGATTTATAATATCTTAGCAAACTGAAGCAAGGCAAAAGCAACTTGGTAAATCACATTTTTCATATTTCCTGGTCCATTGTCCATCGACAAATAGCAGCAAACTTGTTTAGGGGAACCAACGGAATGCTTGAAGCAATCAAAATATCATTAAGTCTTTTTCACTTATGCTTCTGTTTTTTTTCATAACGAGCAAAAATTGAAATAGATAAGTTGACTAATTAATCATGTTTAGCTGTCACTATTCAAAAAAATAAGTCTTTGAAATTGAGCATCAATCAGTCAAATATTACAATCTTGGATAAAATAGTCAAAAAAATCAAAAATGGGTAAAGCGATTCTGGAAAAGGCATTAAATAAAATGTAGATTAACTTTGGCAGTAAAATTTGTCAAAGAATACGCTTAAAAGAGATAAGGAGCATCAAGAAATCCAGCTCCGGCTGCAATTCCAGCTTCGGTGTCATTAACTCGTTTACTTCGAAGCAAATAACCTCCTTCTTCGTTACAATAAACTTGTTCACCATCAGCTAAGATTGAACCAAATATTCCCAATTCAGAGATTATTGTGTCTTTAACAAAATTTCTAGATTTTAGACTAGATTTATAATCAACGCCATAATTAGTAACCGGGACGGCATCGATCAATTCCATGAGAATATAAGCGTTTCTCTCGTCTGATTTTCGGATTTCAGATAACTTGGTGACAATATCACTTCCATAGTAGTTGTTACCTCCTCCTTCACGTTGAGGTTTGAGTACGAATTTTTCCGGATTCTTGAGACCCATCTCTAAAGATTTATTTCCCTCTGGTGTATCACTGAGATGATAAATTGCTGCGAATGTACCATACAATTCATCCAATCCTTCTTCAGGTCGAATAAATCTTTTTAAAATATTCTTATCTGTTAAAATCTGTTGAAACTTTTTAACTCCGGCCAGTTGATATTTTATTGATGGACATTTTATAGCTTTGGATCTTTCAAGTAGTAATCTAGCTTCCCAAGATTTTTCATCCGGATAATCGACTGGTACATAGCCGGTTCGATAATAAACAACAGCAACTTCTTTGCCATCAACTCTGAGAATATTATTTTCATCCAAACAGTCTTTGGATATATCGGAAAATTGTTTTCTTTTCACAAGTATATCTGGCCTTTTACGGAACAATTGGATTTCAATAGCTTTCTGATCACAAATGTTGAAAGTTCGCTGCTCAACTATAAATACTATTATTGCTTCCTTTTTGCCATAAACTTCCCACGCTTTGATCAAACTCGATGCTACAAAATCACATGTGTTTATCTTTGGTTGTTCATGTTTGATATCGGAAGTCACTTTATTATTCACATAATGGTGAAGTTCAGAGATTGCAGGAGCTAACCCAGCAAAGCTAACTGAAATAGCGTTGATTTCCACTTGACGAAGTACTTCTGGTTCTTTATTTAACATATAATCCGAGCGAAAAATCCCTAAATTCAACTTGGAGGCTTTAACATCTTGAGATACTTTCAGGTAAATTTCATAAAGACTGCGAGTAAACGAATCAACACGTATCACATCAGCTAGTGATTCTTCCAAGAATTGTTTATCGTAAGATATCCGATGCATCATTAGATTGATCCCTTGTTGAATCCTTTGAGCAAGTAAACACCATTTCAACGGGAATGGTGATGGAAATAATGTAAATCTTAAGGATTGTAAGCAATTGTCATTAGGTAAATCGATGGATCGACAACCTATACCTATGTAAATAAAGAGCACGATATGAGTTGGAATTGTAAACAACAAAACAGTAACATTTTGAATAAACATGATGAATGCTTACCTGTAGTCAAAGCAAATTCTTTGGCATCTTTTTCGAGCTGGTCCAAGGTAGCGTCAGTTAGTTTAGGTACACAGGACTCCATGTTGAAACGTTTCCTCAATGTTGCCAAAACTTAGACTGAAGGTGAGGAAAAACCAACCAGCATATATGTGTTGAGATAAAGGTGAGTTGAAAGGTACCTATCAGTTGTACTCAATGTTATGAATAAACTGGAGGCGAGTTTTTTATCTCTTCCTCATAAAACTCATAAATAAAAAGAAAGAGATTATTCTCTAGATTTCTAGCGAAATTCTTGTTAAAAAATCCATATTTTAATTAATCCTGAGATGCAATTACCTCACTCCAAGTTACGAGGAAATAAGATAAGATTGCAGATAATTCGCAAAACACGGTAAAATTATTACATCAATTATTACAATTGATAATTCACATGACATGATTCACGTGTTAGGCAATTTTATCATATGTGAGCTCACTTAGTGAGTAAAGATTGACTTTTCGCGAACAATTCAAAATGCTTTATATCAATTTCACCGGAAAAATTTTTTCTATCAGAATATATTGAGATTAAATAAGATCGGAGTTTCAAAGATCTAGAATGGCCGTGATAATAAAGCATTTAGCGATAGTTAAACCGTTCAATTGTTAACAATTTTTAATAAAAATAACTAATCAAGATTCAAATGCTAACCTATGGTAGAATCACAAATTGTTGCGTTTTTAGTGAGTTTCAAGGTGATCTTTGACAATCAATGTTGATTTCAAAGTAAATTTGAAGATATAAATAATTCAACGAAAGATAATCAAAAGGTTTTTTTTCATTTGAATTGATTTGATTTGTGAGTTTAATCAATTCGATGTTTATAAATTAAAAAAGATTAAAAATCTAAATTGCTATGCATTGACAATTCGGGAGAAATAATTACAATTTTCCAGAAATGACTGATGAGGTGTTCAACTTGAGATGTAATGAAGCGGTTTAGTAACAGAGGTGGGTCAGAGTCTTGAGATGATTGATAACTTTCAATATTGATTTGTTTGAGAAATAAATAAGGAACAAATTGATCTACAAAGAGAGAGAGAGAGAGAGAGGGAAGAGAGAAAGTTGATGTTTTTGATATTCATTTTGTGATTCTCATATTAAATATTTATATATAAATTATATTATTATTTATAATTCACTCAATATATTATACATATACACCTTGCCCACTGTCACTAGATGCTGTACCATTGGCGGTAAAGTTATCAGCTGAATGGAGATTAATTTTCATTGGATATGCTTGTCCACCATCATCGAAAAACCTTCTAAAGGTAAATTCAAAGAATGCGTGTTCTGGATGTTTCCCATTTTCAGTAATATTGTTTCCATTCAGATAATCATCATCACAGTCTAGTAAACCATTACTATCCGAAGAAGACGAGTGCAATTTATCTGGATCGATTGGATCAAAGTTTGAAGTGTCCGTTGGATAACGAATTTTAGGGATGTAAGGTGCTTTCTGTTTACGAAGGCCTCCGTCAAAATCGATAGATGAAAAGAATGCATGTTTTTTAATCTCATCAGCTCCATTTTTGCCTAATCTGTCTTCAGGTCCACAACATAGCTTCAGAATGAGATCAGTTGCATCTCTGGATAATTCTGATTCTATAGGAATACGTAGAGTACTTTTCCAATTGATTACCTTAATTGAGAAAAAAAACATAATTAGTTGAAGTCTAATTATTATAAATCTTATGTTAATCTTACCTTATTTTGAGTTTCTTCAGGAGTATTGGCTAAAAATGGTGGATGACCAACTAACATTTCATATAATATAACACCAACAGACCACCAATCGCAAGATTGTGAGTAACCAGTTCTCATTAGTACCTCTGGTGCGATATAGTTAGGTGTACCAACAAGAGAATGGGCTTGACAACGTTGATGTTCCCGTCTTCGTCGTCTTTCTAAAGGTTTAACAATATTGGTATTTAAACCACAATGACATTGATTGGACCAATCTTGATCTACAATGTCCAAAGAATCGCCTCTGCTGTGGTCAACTCCATTATTGCGTTGATAATATTTTGAATTGTGAGTCCAACGGAAACCGGTACACAAACCAAAATCAGTTAATTTAATATGACCATCTCTATCTATTAAAATATTGTCAGGTTTAATATCACGATGAATAAAACTCATCTTATGTACACTCTCTACCGCCAAGACAAGCTCGGCAATATAGAAACGAGCCAATGTTTCCTCGAAAACACCAAATTTGATGAGCAAAGACATGAGATCACCACCAGGAATATAATCCATAACAAAATAAAGATGATTTGTATCTTGAAATGAATAATATAATTTAACAACCCATTCATTGTCAGCTTCAGCAAGGATATCTCTCTCAGCCTTGACATGAGCAACTTGGTTACGCTTAAGAACATCCGTTTTACGCAGTGTTTTCATTGCATACAACTGATTGGTATCCTTTTTACGAACCAAGGCAACCTCGCCAAAAGCACCAACCCCAATGGTTTCAATTTTAACAAACATTGATTTCTTCATTTTTGCCCTTTTTAATCTTATATAATTGCTCTCCTTTTGATGTAACATTTTACGCATTTGACGCTGAGCAGATTCAGATAGACCAACTTTGGCCATTTCACTTTCTAATTGTTGCCTTCGTAGTTCCCGTTGTTGCTGAGATTTGATTACATTTTCAACATGTTGCTCCATATAAAATTTAAATGCTGCCGGTGAATAGTTGCGTACTTTTGTTTCACGCCTTTCTTGTTCCTTTTCCTTGGAAAGAGGTTTCCTTTGGGGTATTGGAGATTGATTTATTTCTTTGGGTGGACTATTATATCTGAAATGAATGAGAAAAAGAAAAATTAGAATGATATTTCTTGAGATACGCTAATTAATTATGCTCTTGTAAAGCAGCTCAAAGATGCAAAGAAGAAAAGAACGATAATGAAGTTTATTAACAAAAAATAACATATTTTGTTCAATTCATTACCAAAAAAGACGTAACGCTGTTTATGCGTGCGTAGCAAAATGAAAGTGAGATAAAGCAGATAAAACGAACAAGTAGATAGATAGAGAAAAAAAGGAATAATCAGATAATGTTGATAAATGCTGTAAGCCTGGTAAGCTATTTGTTCAATGATTGTGGCTGCAGCCTTGAGGATATGGTTAATTTTTTTATCGCCATCTCTTTACTATTACAGGTTACCTCGATTAGATCTCTAAGTTTGCTATTTATTTATTTATTTTTTTGTGTCTCAACAAGAGTTGAAGCCATGAGCCCATTAGAATCATTTGGCAAAAATTTCTTCATACAACCAAATTGTTATTAGCTGAGAGAGAACCCAAAAGCAACTATACAAACAAGCAAAGCAAAAAAAAATTGACATAACTTGAAAATTGTTTCAAGCAAGTTTTGGCAAAATTGTTTTGCAAAATACCAAACATTTTGAACCAAATTTGAATCTTGATTGAAGTTTAACTTTTCATTTTGCACTCCATGAGCAAGCATAAGCAAACATATTAATTGGAGATTCTTTGAAATCTCAATTTAAAGATAACAAAGATGCATACCGATGATTAATGTCAGAATGATGATGATTATTGGTGGCTGAAGATGTTTTAAGTTGCTTTTCCCCATTAGAGGACGGAATTGTCGCTGTTGGTGGCGGCGGCGGTGGAGTCGCTGTATTTGAAGGTGGAGGTGGTGGTGGAGGCAGAGGAGGAGATGATGGAGGGGGAGGGGGAGGTGCTGTTCTTCGAGTGGTTACGGTTGGAGTTACCGTAGATTTAGTTGGACCTGGAGTTATGGTAGTTTTAGCTGGACCTAGAAATAAAAGAAAATAAAAATTAGAATTTGACAAAAAATGTTGAATTAAAGACAGAGTTTACTTTTTTTCCTTCATTATTTTCAGCAAGTTTTTGAAGAGAAAGAAAAATATGAAAAAATTAATAAACGAATGTTCTGAACGATTTTACCGGCATTTTAATATTGTTAAACTTTAAGAAATTTAGTAAGAATTGCTTGAAATTTAGAGTTTTGAATTTTGTGTTTCCATGTGTCTTAAATGAGAACAGTCAAACTTTATTGTTTGAAAAACTGGTTCAATGTTAAACCCATATCAAGACATTGATATTTCCAGCTGTATCTTTGGGATATAAAACGGCTAACAGATGATATTTTCACATTAAATAATCTCGAAAAATTATGCTTATCGATGCTCATTGCTCCATTAAGTTTATCTTTGATAATGAAGGGTATAACCATTGGTTTATAAACAAGAAACCATTTGAACAATTTGTAAACTAGTGATCGACATATTGACAGGCTCTGGAAGTTTGGATCGTAAAGCAACAGCTGCCATATACAGCAACTGCCATTACAACATTCATGGTCACAAAGAAACGAGCATAAGTGGGAAGATGAAGCCCAATTTCAAATATGGTATGCGGTGAATTGTTTCATTAAAAAATAACTAATAAAGACCAGAATCACTGAGTTATCTGGGTCGACCAGTAATAGTATCAAAAATGTATAATTCTGGATTCAACGCAGTTGTTTGAAATTTTTTAAGACATTCGAGTAAATCATCAAATTCATTATCATACCTAACTGTTTCGAAAGAGCAGAACTGAATGAATTTAAACAATTTGAATACAATCATCAGGAATGTTTCGATTCATAAAGTTTTACCCTTCTCTCAACAACTTTTCCTGTTGCTCAAAAGACTTGAGAGACGGGAATATACCGTGACGAGCGAACATGGACAAGATAGAAATTATGGTAAAGAATTTTACCTGCGGCAATAGCTTTGCAATTAGCGTGTTTTGCCGAAATAGATAATACCAAGGTTAAATATTTTTGGATTATTATGAGGTTAGATTGGCCATTAAAATCAATTGGAAAGATGATGATGACGGAGTAAAAATAAAAGGTAAAAAGAGATTGAAAGATTGAGAAGTGATGAAGATAAGAGAAAGAGGAAAGGAAAGGATTTAAACTGTTTAGCTTAAAAAGCTAGCTTTTAACTTTGAGCGAAAAAAGAAAAGTTCATAAAAAAGTTTAGCGTAATGTTTGCTATTTTGTTTGTTTGCTCACGTACTTTTTTGTTGACATTGGGAGTAAAACAGGGACAAGTAAAAGGGTTACGGTAAAATGCATTGACAAAGTTTCAATTTGTAAGGAATGAAAGAAAGTAAGCAAAAGAAAAAAACCAAAAAAGCTTAACACACTACACACACACACAACTTACAAGTCAAACAGAAAAGGTAATTCACAAAAAGTAACTTTTTTTTGTCAATTAACTATTTACAGAGAGTGGGAAAGGAAAGGTAAAACACAACTAAACGCTACGTGTTTTTGGTTAAAGGAAAGTGTAAGGGAAAGATGCAAATAAATGCATATGGTTGAGATAGGGAAAGAATGTGATAATTATGATCTTTATACTAAACAGATGCTGGTTAATGATGACGATTAAGAAGAGATCCTGATTTAGCTCATCTTGTAATAAAAGCTCAGTACAGTTGAATATAAATAAACACAGTATAATAGTCCAGTAGAGTTATTGGACTAAAAAGCAGAGAGGAACCATTATTAATATCACATGAGGATGGAAAATAGAAATTTTTGTTGGGCGCAGTTTTTGGGTTCTTTTTTTTCTCTCTCTCTTTTTTCATCTTCCCTCTCTTCTGGTGATTGCTGTTTTGCGGTTGGGCCAGCATGTTTATATACATTATGGACCAGCGGAGATCACGATAAATCAGGAGGCTGACAGATCAAAGTGTGATATCCATATTCTAACTGCTGTTCATGGAATTTTGGTTTCAGTAAACAAAAAATTGCGACAAGATCTTCAAGACAAGAAGCTGAGAGAGAGAGAAAGAAAGAAGAGAAAGAAGAGAGAGAGAGAAAGCCTTATCTAACGAGCAAACATAAAATGAGATTTGCTGAAAAGTCATTACTAAAAGTTTCTTGATGCTCATCACGTTAGGATAACACTTCATAAGTTAAATTCCAGAAATATATAGGTTTCACTCCTCTCGTTTTTTCTTTATTATCATCTTCTTTCTCTTCTTTCTTTCCTTCTTTCCCTTCTCTCTCTCTCTTTCTTCTCAAACTAGTTATCTGCCTTTCCTTTTTTCCTCTCATCTTCTTTCTCTATTATTGATTATTGTCTTGTACAGGTAGATGCGCGCCATCTCGTTGATTGTGTTCAGGGTAAAAAAATATTCAAATGAACAAAAGAAGAGCACAAATTGAAATGTCAAAGACATTTGAATAAGTGCTAGCAAAGGTTTTGCTTTGGCCCTAAAAGAGGACCAATTTTAACCTGAAACGAAATGCTTGTGTTTAGGAATTGTTGAGGGAAAAAAAGATTTTTTTTCTTTACTGTTTATCTCATTGAAAAGATACAATATGACAAAGCTGATATCACATTCCTTGACAGATATTGAAGCCAATGGTTTTTGCCCACTTGTTGGTTTAGTTTTTCCCCTCTTCTTCATAAATTGCTCGCTCATTTTTGTTTGCTTTTTCAGTAATCATGAAGCTTCAGTGTCTTTTGCTTTCTAGACCAATTTTCACACTCAACTGTCTCAATTATTTGAGTGGCATTCTTTCAAGATCATTGTTACTATTTTTTGAAATATGCCAATATTTATCAATTGATTTTTATCTAGTTTTTTCATTACAATGCAATTCAGTAATTGCTTTTGTTTTCTTTTTGCCTGGTAAACTTTAATTTAAGCTGTATAAATTCAAGAAAATTTATCTTGAGCGTTGACCCATCCTCAAAATGAATTAACTAAAACGGTTGAAGCTTTGTAAGCACCATTCAAGGTAAAGGTATTTTGGTTAATATAGCTGTAGTAATGGTAAACTTGAATAGAAATGGTCATTCAATTGGATGCAAGGTTAGTTGTTGCCTTTTCTACTCAGCTTTTTTGCGGACTAACATCATGATAACTGCTCATTCAACATGTTTCTCGTTGGTGTAACACACATTAAAAGTTGCCCCTCATTCCAATTTCAGCAAAATACATATGAAACCAAATTCCAACAAAAGGTGGAGACACTGCTTTTTAAGCAGCAACAGCATGCTAAAGGTTCACAAAAAAAAGTTTTCAAGAGGAAACAAGAAATTCTGAAACAGATAACATCATTCTATTCAACTAAACTAATGTTCCCAAACAATGAAATGAAACAAAAGGGAAAAAAATTCTCAACAAAGAGTCAACTTTGATAATGAAAATATTTCAACTTGTAATTAAATGAGCTGATTAAATAAATCACATTTTTGAATGAATTTTCAGTTGTGCAATTTTGTTACCCAATACATGATGAAAGGGTAAAATGAGATTGGATATTGAATTTTTGGTATAAAATTCTTGAAAGTGAATCAAAATTTAACGAGCGATTGCGATAAATTTATCAAATTGTTTGCGGTTCACATAAATATGAAAAAAAGTAAATGATTTTTAAAAAAATGTATTAGTCATTTGATTAATCTTTTTTCATAATCTGAGCAGTTCACGAGAGACTGTTGAAGATTGAAATTTGGATAAATGATTACATGGCTATAATGATACAGTCTTTTCATGTAATTAATAAATCAGGAAAGTATTGGAAGTATGAAGAGAGAGAGAGAAAGAGCAAAATCTCGCATCTTCATGCTGATGATGATTGATACTAATCATGATTAAAAGCATACATCAAATTCACACACACTTATGTATATGTGGTAACAAAATAATAGGTTTTATCAACAATTGTATAACACGGTAATGAAATGTAACACTGTTTAGGTAAGCACTTTCTCGACATTAGATGAGTAAAAATATTTTTTACTTGTTAAGTGATTTGCAAGGCAACCTAATGGTGTAAACGCGCAACCAGAACCAGAAATATTTAGGTAAACTGTTGAACCTGTTTTGCTGGCTGATTAATGGTAATAATCATTATTTGACTTTGTAATTGTAAGAAATTGTTTTTTTTCTCTCTGCAAAATAGATTAAAGAATGGATCGAAATTTCAATAAAGATGAGTTTCTATCCTCAAAAAAGCAAGAAGGAGGAAGAAAGAAGCAAGAGGGCGAGACAAAGAAAGAAAAGAAAGAGAAATTCTTTAACGATTGTTTGAATCTCAAAAATTTCTCTCAATTGGTCGAAGAGAAGAAGAAGAAGAAGAAAAAAAGAAAAGAAAAGCTGAAAATAATGAAAGAAAAGGAAAAGAAGAAGATGATCAGGAAGACGACTTACAAGTTATAGTAGACGATAAAACTACATTCCCATTACAAGTGGAAGTTGATGTTGATGAACACTCTGATTCAGTGATGCTTGCCGAATCGTTGAACTGCATCAAGGTACTAGGCTTGGGAGGTAGAGGAGGTCCATTATTGCTACTATGGATGACACCGACTTGAGATGCACAAATACTTTCAACAGTATTAACCAGATCTGAATTGGGTGGCAGTGGAGGTGGTGGCCTCGCAGGTAATTGACTTATATTAGGTAAATTGGTGGTGGTTCCATTATTTTCCCAGAGTTTATTATTACAGTTTACCGGTGTTGGTTTACTTGGACGACAACTGTTTCCGGATGATACAATTGTCGATACAGGACCGGACGCCACAGCTCGCTGAACAGCTAAAGCAGCTACCGATGAAGCATAACTGGGTGGGTCGGTTGTTGGGACTGAGACTCCATTATTGATAACATTATTATTATTACTATTATTACTATTATTGTTAGAGCTACTGTTGTTGTTACCATTAACTCGAGGTGTGTAATCCGTGATACCAAGATTAACTGCAGCTCCTGAGAGAAGAAATATTGAGAAAAATTTATATTAGTTATGATATTTTTTGACTCAACTTTCGTTTGAATAAAAAAGCAGGCGTGTTAACGTTTGTGGAATTTTTTTTCAATCATTTTGATGGATTATCAAAGGTAACTGTCAACAGCAAACTAATAATTGTTTGATTCAATTTCAAAATTAAATTATTATCAAATGCTATCCAATTATTTTGTAAACATTCAAGAAATCAATTGACACAATCATTTCTTGTATAATATTGATATTGTTCAATTATTTTGATTATTGAAAGTCAAGTTTCTCAGTAAAGATGATGACTCTTTTAGCGCAAGTTGCCAAGTTTAACTCAATAGTGGATTGAAAAAAATACAACAGTGATGAATATTGAAACCAATATTTAATATGATACTCGGTCAAGGGCAACAAATAGCTATTATTATTATCATTATTAAAATGGATGCAAAAATAGCGATGATAATTTTTTCGCTGTTTTACATGGATGGAGAAATGGTTGAAATTAACTTTTATAATCTTATTCTGAGATTGAGAAACTATTTTGATAATGTTGATTGAGTTAGTAAACCGGGATCATTGAGTACAACATATACATGCAAAAATGTGAAATACATCAAATAACCTGAAAAGAGGAGAGAGAGAGGAAGAGGGAGAGAGAAAGGAAAGAGAGAAGATCATAAGAAATTGGAAGAAAAGCAAAAGCTGCAAACTTTTTTTGCCTAAAAAAGGAAGAGTTTTTCGTTTGCAATGGAGTGACAGATGTTTAGCAATATCTAAAGCACACAAAAATGCCAAACACTGTTAAGGATCAAGGGGAAAAGCTTATAAATGCAACTGGCAATGATTTAAACAGAGAGCCATAAGGCGCGAACTTATCAATGTCAATCAACAACCTTTGAAAAATAAACATCGAATGCGTAAAACGTGATTATCAGCTCTAGAGATTCGCAGAATCGTAATTAAAGCAACTTAAATGTTTAAGTAGTTATGGTAGTCATCATCTTTAGTGTATCTAAAAAATGATTTCATGCAAAAATAACAAAAAACATGGTAAACAGAAATTGTTGTAATTGCATAAATGAATAGAGGGATGATAAGGATTATACCAGAGATTTAACCAGAGATAAATTATGAATGATGTTCTGACGAAAAATATGGAAACTGTCAATTTTATTGAAAATTTTTTAAACATTTTTCTGGTAATAGGGAAGGTAAAGAGAAGCAGAACAAGAGGAAGCAAGAGTATTGATGAAAAACTGGTGGTGATGAGTGTCAAAGCACTGCTTTCAACATGATACTATCTGAATAACTTTCAGACAAAAGGTAAACTGCAACTTGATATAAATCCGGTGTCCCGGGAAAATATCAACTGCCTTCAAGGCAGAGAAAGAAAGAGAGAGATGAAATGCTGAATACGATGAGGGAACATTTAAGAAAAACTTGATAAACTCGTGCAATATTATGGGTCATCATCATCTACTGAAAGACTGAGTAGTGGTGAAAAAATAACGAAAAAAATTGCACTTTGTAAAACATGGGAAGACAAAGTGAACACAAAACTGATACAATAAATGGCAATTGAATCATTTTTTACTGTATTATGAGAAGATGATAAGGAAACGAATGTAACAAGTCAACTCTTCTCTTTTTTTGCTGCTTCACTTCAATTATCTAGTTAAATAGTAATTTATATCGGAAAGCAAAAAAAAGGTTAAATTGTCAAATCAAGTAGAGCACGGAATGATGGAAAGAATTTACTTGCATGGTGATTCACTAGATAAAGAAAGAATGATAACAAATGCGGATGAGAAATTTATGATAGATTCGATTATTAACTACTTTAAAGCAAGAATGAAATAAGTCATGAGTTGTGATAACATTTCAATCGGTGATTCAGTCCAATAACTGTCATTTTTTTGCTTTTGTTTCACACAATTATAACACTTTGCCAAGAATCAAACACATAACATTTTTTGATTAAAATGTCCAGTTATAGCGTAATAATGAAGAAACCATTGAAATATCATACCTGATGATAAAGATTCAGATTCTTTCGGCACTGATGAAAAGGAGGCTGGATAAGGAGGAGGTGGAGGTGGTGGAGGCTGTGGGGAAACAATAGTATCCTCATGGCTACACGAACGATTATATCCATTGATATTTGCTGTTGAGGTTGATAATTTGGTCGGTTGTTGAACAGCCGATATGTATGGTGGAGGTGGTGGAATAACTGGACAATTGGCTGAGCTAACTTGCAATGGTGGTAATGGCGGAGGAACCGTTAATTGATTTTTGTTGGTATTATTTGCTGGATATGGTGGTGGATTGTTGGCTATGTTACAATTGGATGGTAAAAGTTTTGATTCGAGACCAACATTATTGGTTGATGAAATGATTGTCTTACAACTTGTGTAAGGCGGTAAATGATTAGCATTGGATGTTGGTTGTGAAATTGATTGATTAGTTGACGCGGCTAGTTTAATTGATGAGCTACATGTGCTATTGGTACCGTTATTGCCATTTTGAGAAATAAATGTGTGTGGCGATGAGTTGACCGGAGGTACTGTCGGTGCAATAGCCGTTTGGAGGACGGGTTTTTGTACTTGAGTACTTTTCACTGATTGCATTATAACAGGTGATTGAGATTTTGCCTGACGAGCACTCCAAGCTTGAAGTTGAGATGTTTTGATGACCGAACTGACCACCGTGGCTGCAGCACCTCGTAGGCAAGAGGAATTCTGCGAGGAACAAGTTGATGATGCTGAGGACATCATTTTTGGAAGTTGTAATGATGGTGGTACAGAAGAATAATCGGAAGAGCTACTTATGGTGGGCGTTGGAGAAAGACGGCCTGAACTAGATGATGCAGCATATGGAGGTGTTGAGATGGACGAGTACAAAGATGATAGACTTGCTGGACTATGAGGATAAGAGGGTGGTTGTTGCAATGAAACATGAATGGCACTGTGGTTATTAGAGTTGTTATACAAAGATAAAGCTTGTAATTGTTGAGCCAATTGTTGTTGTTGCGCTAAACTGAGGTTGGATAAAAATCTCTAAAAAAAGTAAAAGAAAAAAGAAATACAAAGAATTAGATTTAGATAATGTTGAAATAGGAATGCATTTCAAACTTGAAAAAGTTGATCAAGAGAATGTTGAAGTTAGCCCAATATTTTACAGCCTTGGTAAAAAACATGGAACTGTCAATAATTCAAAGAGATGAACAGAAATGAAATATCCATCAGTTATGACATTTTTTCAGACACTTGATCTTTTAAGAATAATCTTCAACACTAGTTTTCTCTGGATCGTTCCTTTTCAGCCTGTTGCTTCCTCCTTTGACATAAATCCAATACACAAACCTTTGCAAAACCAATATTTAGAAGATATTGAGATATGTTTTCACCATTATCATTGGAGTTTCCTGAAGCCTCTGAATTAGATCCATTGGATGTAGAGGCTGAATTACATGGACCGCATGTTTGTCCAGGAGATGAGCTAGAATCACTAGTTGTCGATGAGGCACTAGATGTTGGCCTTTCATTGTTCATAAAAGGCAGCAGTGATATCCTAATTTCTTGTAATGCTTTCTGCCTGTATTGAGCTGATGATTTGGTATTATTATTCGGAATCTGTGCCATATTTATGAGCAGATGCTAATCACCAAATCAGCTTTTTGAATGCACATTGACGGGAGCACAGCTTGTTTCCTCTGCTCGCTATTTTCTTTCTCTTTTCTAAAAAAAATTTCCGTTTGACTCGATCCAAAATTGAATACTTTTTCCCAGAATACACACAAAAAAGAGACAAAAAGAAACAAAAAAAGATTAGTAAATACTTTAGACTTTAGAAAAGTATATGCAAGATGAAAAATACCAGCTAAACTGATAATGAAAGAGACACATTAATGAGATAAGGACACAATTTTACAAGGCATTTTGTTGGTGTTAATCCACAAATTGTTAATTAGATGATAAAAGCACAAATGGTGAAGCACATAAATCCCAATGTAAAACTATAACCAACAAACTTTGAATATTTACCTGTTGTTGACTCAAGAGCTGTGTATAATAAAAACAAGGGTTGCTCAAAGAACACACGGTTGATCAATGAAAAAAAGGAGAACACTTAAAATAAAGAAATTAATTTAACTAAAACAAAAATAATGTAAATAATAAGAAGTAATTTGGTGTTTTAAATTACTTGTAGTAAACATAGAATAATATTTATATCAATAATAAGTAATATTATAATAGTAAATTAATAATACAATGTACAGTCAAAACTCTATTATTTCACACCATCGGGACCTGATAAATTCGGTGATTTTAAGGAGAATGTCTATAAACGGAATGTGTTTTTCAAAGAGGTTATAAAATCTCTTTACAGGTGAAACTTGAAACTTATGTAATTGATTAAAACTAATTAAATAGAGGTGTGAAATATAATAGAGATTTAACGAAAAGAAGAAACACACAAGAAAAAAATTAAAAAGACACATAAAATTAGTGTAGATGAAGAGAGACGAAAGAGAGAGACAGAGAGAGAGAGAAACGAAGAGGAGAGCAAAAAGTTGGTTAACTTAATGAATAGAGAGAAAAAGAGAGACTAGAGATGATGCAGAAAGAGGGAAAAAGACCAAAAGTAAGAGAAGAAAGGCAAATATTTTGTCAAACATTTTTCTGCCTCAAAAGATTCACAAAACTTCGTTACTTAAATTCCTTCTAACAGATGGAGACAGGAATATGAAGCAAGTTTTAAGCTAAAAGAAAGACCATCTGTCGACGAAAATCTGTTCCTTTCTTCTTTCTCTTTCTTTTACCCTCACTCTAAACTCCATCTGTTGGGTTGGAATCATATTATCGTTGATTTTGTTTTCATTGTTTCATTATTTATCTCTGATTTTGACTATAATTAAACTGATTCATTGATATCAATAGATAAATGAATTATCATCTTTACACCTTAATATGTGCTACAGATGTGTTTTTGATTCCATAAATGCTACTCGACAAAGTGTTGATAACCTAAATTATGCTAAATTTTTTTACTGAACTCATTATTGAAGTCGAACGAGTTGATTACAATAAAATTCAACATGTCATCGGATCCGATATGTTGTGGAGATTCATCAGTTAATTTATTTAAAAGATTGGTAACATTTCACCTGATTTATTCGATGGCAAATATTTGCCCATCAAGAATCTTAATTAACATCCATAATGCCAGAGATCATTAAACCTTCTATTTTGATCCAACAAAAAGTATTTCCCTCTCAACGTTATGTAATCAACAATTAACACCCATTACATCCTGTAATCTAACTTTGACCTTTTCTCTGTTCAATCCATAATTTTAACTAATTATATCCTAATAATCCCTGGAAAACTACCTTTCAGTGCTAAAACTGTATAAAAATTCAATTGTTTCATGTTAATCTCATCAACTGCTGTATTTGCTGCTTGACTTATCATAACTTATAATTGGCATTATCTGATGATAATTATTGAATAATGTCAGTGACAAACAAGTTTTATCAAAAGAACAAGTTACGAATGTCGAGACAAAATGAATTGAGTAAATGACATCGTTTGAATATCTCACTTTAATCCCATAAATGTTAAGTAATTAATCACTAAAAGTGAAATATCTAAATAAGTTGCGTTGATATATTAAGTGAAATATCATTTATGCAAACCATTGTGGTGCATTAAAAAGGACAACAAAAAATTGTAGTGGTAAAAAATATCGTTATCACAACTGTAATATACAAAAGGAGTATCTTTGATTCTCGTTAAATCAATAAATGGTGTGTAATTTTTTCTCAATTTGTGACTTGATTCTTGTAGATGCTATTCAATTATACGGAAAACTGGCCAATCCGGCTTTTCGAGGCATGCCAATTGATTAAAGAAAACTGTCCATAGTTGCCACAGAAATTTCATTTTTTCATTTTTCTTGAACCTTTCATTATGGTGAATACAAAGGCAGCAATCTTTTCATAGGTGAAAAACATTAATGCAGTTGCAAGCACTGTTTGGTACAGCTTGGCTTCCATTCCTTTGTAAAGACCTCCAGGACCATTTCGCCGTAAAATCATGCGAATAACTTGCATCATATTCTTGTTCTTAACGTCTTCACTACCATACTATGAGGAAACGAGAAAGAAACGAAAAATTAGATCAAAGTCAAAATATAACGAATTGGATAACAGAGCTACATACTCTTAATTTAGATTGGACAAGTTGTAGTGGGTATGTAAGAACAGTGCTTAAACTTTTGGATATTGCCCCAAGAAGAAGAGCGTTTGAACCTTTAATCTGCTCCTTTCCAGTCCATAATTGAGTCCGACGTTTTAAATTTTCGTAAATCATGAATTGAATTGCCGGATTTGTTACCAAAACAAGAGATGGAATTGCACCAGCCCACAAAGCCGGGACACCTTCAGTCGAAGCAATCTTATAGATTCCATGGAAAATATTCTTGTACCTTGGAGCATTTCTTGTCATTTCCCCGCCATTCTTTAGCTGTTAAAAGGAAATAAAAGCCATTAAACATTTATTCATGATTTGGGTCACAGTAAGGAAAAAATGTGATGAAAATAAATGATGCTCATTATTTAAGAACTCAAATCGATAAGTACCTGAACGAAAACTGATATAAACATAGATATCTCGATGATCTTGCTGTTCAAATAATTTTGAAAAGTCCATTGTCCTTGCATTCATTTGCTAAGAGCTTCAGTGACAGTCAAATTATTTATAATTCAATATCAATAAATTTGAACTGGACAAGGAAGTTTTCGTGCTTCTACATTGCCAAATTTTCCTGTAAACAGCAATTTCGATCGATTCTTTAGCAATTATAGACTGAACTTCTAAAATAAAAGCATTTTCAATTTACAAGAACAGTGGAAATGATACAAAATGTATAAGAATGAAGAGATTAAGATACCTTTGCACCTTGCATCTTCATTCTCATATTGACAACCCATAATGGTGTTGTTAAGAGCACATTGAATGTCCCAGCGATTGAACCAAGGAATAAATCACGCAAAGCAGAAGGTTCACTATTTTTAAACATAGCTCGTAATCCATGGAATGAATAAAAATAAACAAAATTAGAGGCACACAAAGATATAAGCACTGGTTCCAATCCTCTGTACAATCCTTCCCTAGAAATGAACAGATGATGAGATAGACAAATTTAATATAGTAAACATTAAACATTGTCATGAAATATCTTTGATTATAAGTCTACTTACAGTCCTTCAGAGTCAAGAATTTCCTTAATCAAAGCCCAAGTATTCTTTCCTTTGGCTAAATCATCAACTTGAAGTCTAGATCTCACAATATCCAAAGGGTAAAAGGTAGTCATAGCTGTAACACCACCAGCCGATCCAGCCATAGCATGAACCAAACTGTCATAGGTAAATAAATTGTCCCAACCAATTGTTGCTTTACCCATGGTTGATTAATAATCCAAATATCTTGCTAAAAATTGAACACGATTGATAAAAAGATTTTTGAAAACACAACAAAGGTACACTAAAATGGAAAGAGTCAAGAGCAAGATGATGGTAACGTCAACAAGAAGCAAAGTGAATGAGAAAACTGATGCTCATTGAGTGGAAAGATTATTGGAGTAAATATTAACGATTTTTCCTACTTCTCTTTAAGTTTAGTGAATAAAATCAAACCACATAATCAATTTACTGAACATTTTGAATCTATTAGATGCATTGTACCCTCAATAGAAGTCCAGTGGAATTTTTACATCTGACTTCCATGAATGATGGACTTTCATGTTTCCATTTTGCAGCTCAAAACTTCTTTATTTACAGTTTTGGATCTTTTAATTTCGATTTCTAAACCTGTTTTTCTAGTTTTCAGAGAAGACAGATCTTGAATGCTTGTTAGACAATATTGTCTACTTTTATTATTACTTAGCGACTATAATTCTAATGGAAATTGCGCTTAATTTAAAACCTTCGCTATTCATGAATACAATTCGAATCACAACAGACTCGAAATTGTATGAAAACGCAACAGAACCATTCTTATCTCACTTCTTGATAAAAGCGTAAGGAATTCATTAGGTAGTTCAGTAGAAAGTGCAGACTTTAGTTTTTGATATTTTCTGATAGAAATTCATAATTCACTCAAATTGCAGAATTTCAAAACAGAGTCTACAAAATTAATCTACATTAATACAATAAATATCGTCAATGCATAAAATTTTTGCGTTAAGATTGTGGCCAAGATTCTAAGATCTTAATTTCATCTTGTGTAAGCATCTGTGCATCTTTTTCCTATCAACTTATCGCCATCCAATTATCATACTTTTAACCAAAGATCTTTTATCAAACTTTTTCGTCCTCAGCTTCATCATTTTCTCATTGTTAAGCACATGGCATCGAAGACCAGCCTTTTCATCATTTCTCCATTCTAGCTTGACACAAGCTTTTCAAATAACTCATTAACTCATAGCACTCATAAGATCTCGTTTTTATTACAAAATCTTAAAAATGAACCTTTCCCATTCCATTGTTTTTCACTATAAAATTCAATTCCTGCAATATATCTCTTGACTTGTAAATATTTCATTTTTTATGTAAGATTAAAACCACTTGCTTCTTTGATACATTAAGTTGTGATGTTTATTATTCGCAAATGGCTTGAAGTGTGTGGCTTATCAATTCTATTCTCGATACAGCACAAAGCATTGGAAAACTCATGATGGTTAAGGTGTGGTTCTAAGAAACAAAATTAACGTAGCATGCAAGTTCAAATTCAACTACACCCACCAAAAATGAGAAACCTCACCTCAAAATCAGATCTCGGAGAGATTCATGAAAATAGAGGCTGGAGGAAAATGCAGAATCCATATTCAATAACATTGAGTTAGGGGGAAAACTTTTTTCTTTTCATATTGATTGCTCATTGTTGGACAAGGATTTTGTGTAAAACTTTATCTTTTGAGCAAAGAGTTAGGTGAAAAATATGGTAACCCCAACTGCACAAAAAAAGATAAAAGTTTCAACTTTGTTACTAATTTTTCAACGATTATCGATTAGAGAAACTTTTAATTGAACAAATGAAGTCTATGCCATTCAACCAACAAAGACGCAAACTCGAAGTACAATTTTTTAAATGCGCTTGAAGAAAAGCTTTTTCATCCTAAAAATATTAATGAGACAAAAAACAAAGATTTCGGCTTTTGTACTTGTTTATTTATTTCCTTAGTTTATTTTCAGAATGTAAATTGTATGAGTTCAGAAATTATTTGAATTTTAATGAGAATTAAGTCGACCAAGTAAATCGGAATACATTCAATGTTTGAACTGAACTCCAGACCATCAATTCAATTTCGGGTTTTGACTTTCGAGGTAAGAGTTACCTGATGAACTTTTAGAGATATAAGAACTAACACCTTTCAAAATAATCAGTCATGATCGCAAGCTCCACTAGTTCTGAATAATCTCACAAAGAAATTAATAATTGAAAAGTTCTAAGCAATCAATGAAAAAATCAAGAATCGAGTCTTAAGGTTACATCTGAATTGATGAAATGAGCCATGAAATTAAGGGAAATTATTCAATTGGTCATCTTTTTATAAATGGAAAACTCGTTTTTCTCCAAAGTCAAACAATTTTATTCAATAACCAAAATGATCGAAGAAATTGAAAAAAGTTAACCAACAAAAGAAAAGAAAACCTTTGATTTTCACCAATTTTCATCCATCATGTAACGAAAACGCAACTTTTTCATTTAAATTTTTCTAGTTCCTCAATCAAACCCTTTTATTTTATTTTATCAATTGTACGATCATTGTGAGAGATTTCATGATAAAAAGTCCTATCAATTCAAAATAATCATCAGATCCCCTCACCTACCTCCTAACTATTAATATGTTAAGACCATTATTATCTAGTTTCAGGGAGACCAGTCAGAACACATGAATGTTGATTTCAGCAAAATCTCGATTAGCATGAGTTGAACAATCAATGCGATTGTTACCAATTTTTTTATCATTTCTGACAAAATCTTCATTTCTATTTTTTCGATACAAGATCGTGAATTTAGATGGTAGCTTTAAGAAAGGATTACAATGAGTTTCACGATTAGGAAGATCAGTATATTTTTTTCATTGATCGTAAATCTCATGGAAATATTTTGACTTTTATTGGAAGAGGATATGAACATACTCGCTACATGAATACCAAGAAGACAAATTCAATGGCATTCAAACGTTCGAAGCTCATTTTTCTAAGAGACTTTTCCATCCTGTGACTTTTACTTTCATCTTTAATCTAAAGGGTGTAACGCCTAAGAAATGAAAATTATCTTTGATAAGAATGAAGATGAAGATGACAATGATAAGAATGTCCAGTTTATGTCTTCTTCTCTTTCTGTCACATTTTTATCATTATCATCTTCATCCTCATTATTATCAAAGATAATTTTCACTTCTTACGCGGTACACCCTTTATTATTCTTGATATTTCCATGTTACATATTAAAGCCTTTTCATTGAACCGTAAAAAATGAAACAAAGTTGTGAGTAGACCAGGAATACAATGTGTTTCTAGGTTAGTCCTGAGACTAACCAAGCTTGTAAGTTATCTAAATTTAACCCAGAAGATTGAGGGTCGAACCATTGCATATTGATCCAATTTGCTAATCAATAGCTAAAAAATGCCAAAATTATAATAACAGCACAAAAGTTCTGTGTTTAGTTTCATTTCACAGTGAGTCTACACAAGTCTCAACAATGCATCTCGGGGTTTATAACAAAACATTCCTGTGATGCTGTGAAGCAAAGAAATGAACCAATCACATAAGAAGATATTTTGACATGGCTTTGGTCTAATTCATGATGATCTTTCGAATCATAACAGATACCTCAATGTGATCACCATTGGAACAGAATCTCTTTCAATCCCTCTTGGCTTTAAGAATGATTACTCGAGATTTTCCTTGGTTTTGGGTAAACCTGAACTGGTTATTCCACATCTTTGTAAGTGAAAACATGATGTAATGTGTTGGGTAACTTCAAAATTAACTCATTATTTTTCACCAACAAAAAATGAACTTTGACCAAGCTGCAAAAAATCAATTTAAAAGAGTAAGTTGGTGAGCTTTCAATTGTAGCAATAACTAAATGTTAAGGTTTAGTTGAAGTGAAACACTAACTCACATTTCTGGTTAATTTGTTTTGTTTATCTGGAAAAGGGTTTTATCTTTCACAAAAATGGCTCAACAGTTCAAGGCAAAACTTTAATTCTCTGTAATTTTATTTTTACCCTTTTACATCTGCTTCCATGTGATTAACTTTTATAACCAGAAAAGTAATTGCATGATGTAATTCAATTGTCTTTAAAATTGATAGCAATCAAAAGTTGATGGCGAAAAGGTTAATTTGTTTAAAATACCGCTTTTGTCATGAAAAGGGTAATTTGAAACTTTCATGTTGAGATCTTAACAAAACAACCAACCTTCATATCGTTATTGATGAACCAATGGAAATAGCCTTGAGTTGAGTAAACACTTTAAACATGGAGATTCATGGTGAAGTTAAGAAAAAAAATAACCAGAACTTATTAAATGACGTGCGATTGATTGAAAAAAACACTATTCCCACTGAGCTTATGCATCAAAGGAAAAACAAAATTAACCAGAGATTATGATGATAAAGAGGTTGAATGAGCAAAAAGTTGAAGGAGGGCTTAATGAAGGGAGAGGAAGAGAGAGAGGGAAAGTAAGATAAAAAGGAAAAATGAAGACAGAGAAAAAGAAAGAGGTTCGAGAGAGACAGAATGTCTATTTTGTGTCTTTTTGATTCACTGTGTCAATCAAATAAATAATCGTGTTTCACTTTCACCATTGGTTGACTCAAGCTACTGTTTATTGTTAATGTTTATGTTTTAAGTGGAATAATTTGGATTTTTTGGATTTAATTTTTACTCAAGTGATTCCATAATGACAATTCAGCCAATGGATAATGACCAGTTAATGATCAAAGCTCGTGAAAGGTACAATTTCATTGTGGACAAAGGATCTTATCTTCCTGGTGTCTCTGATACAATTGATCCATATACTCCACCTGAATGGTTTGATCGTGATAGGTTCAATAAATCTCAAAAAATTGCGGATAAATATTTTCTCAGGTAATTGTTTGCAAAAATTTCTCTATTTTCCCAATTCTCTTTTGTTAAGCTCCAACTAACAATGTAAGACAAAACACTTAACCTTCGAACCCTGTAAATTGATACAACCAATTGTTTGAAAATCTTTATTACCATGTAATTGGCTGCCTTTCTGTTTCTTTTTATAATCATCATAAAACAACTTGTCTTTGCTTCTTTAGTGATCTTCTGTTCATTATTTTCATAATACAATGTTTTCAGCTCATGAGGTGAAACTGGTTTTTTGGGTTAAGGTAATTTCCCAATAACATGGACTGTCTAGTGTTTCTCGTGGCTTGAATTTTGATTAATTTGTTATTTATTCTCTTAATCGTGCACTTTTACTTATCTTTCCAATTAAACTAGTCTTACTTATGAAACAGGATTTTTTCCGGTTTCAATGATTTTCATCAGCCAGAAATAAACATTGTAAAGATGTTTATTTATTTCTGAGGTTCTCATGCAGTGTTCATTATCTTGATTAAAATATTATGCTATTCTTCCCACAACCAGTTAAATGTTATTCAATTTATCGATTCACACACAATTATTCATAACATTTCAACACTTGCCTGGCAACTAATTGAAATGAACACAATGTTTACCTTTATTCAGTCCCAATTAACATGGATCAAAATTAATATTGCTGTTCAATAATTTGAGAGGAAATTCATTCTTGCATTGGTTCTTGAGATTTAGGTTTGCACTTTAAATTTTGATCAAAAATTGAAAGCAATGATTAACTGCTTTTAATAGTCATGAGTTTATCTCGATAACAAATTATGTCAATCGAATGGAATTCATGATAATTATTATTGTTTCAAACTGTTTCAATAGTTCATCAATTGGTTTAATCATTGTTAATTATCATTAAATCAAACATTAACCATTCATCCTGAATTTCATAGTTAACAATATCCTTACATTGACTGGTGAAAAAAGGTTAATGTTTTCAAAGGAAATTGAATGAAAATGTATGATTTTAATGATATTGTCCAATCAACCATGATATTAAAAATGAAGTCTTTAATGAATTGAACCTCAAAACTGTATCAATGAACAGCTAAAAGACGGTTAAGTAGGAAATTAACTTTGCACAATCAAATGTGATTAAAATATAAAACTAACCATCAATTGTTTTTTCCCTTCCTCAACAGTTTAAGTTACTCAAGTTCAGTCGGACTTTTACTCGGTATTCAAATTCCAATATTTACTGAACCTTTATTGACAACTGGGACCCATAAAAATATACCCAAATTGTATCGTCGTTACCTGTCAACTGTTATCCATGTCAACAATTGGTGAGTTCAAACAAATTGCTCAAATTCCCTGAATTACAATAAAGCATGGAAGGGAGGGAAAAAAATAACATTAAAATATGTCTAAATAAAGACAAATTGACATGAGACATCAAATTGTAATTTCAACCATTCGTAGGACTTGATAATTAAAGTACACTGTACTCATGACTGCATGATTTTCATTACAATATTTTTTAATCTAATCAGTAATTCATTGAACTTTAGGCTTCACAGCCAATCTGTTTGAATTGGAACATTTCCAAAGTCAAAAGAGTTTTTCGCCAAAATGAATTGAAAATTTACTCTGGCTGTTAATGGGTAATGAAAAATTACACATTACAATTTGAAAAAATCAATACATGAAATGGTTCCTTAAAGTTCCTTCCAATTCATTTTGAAAATGTTCCAAACCAAACTGATTTTACTTTATTTTTCAAAGTTTTTCATTTCATCAGTGTTTTTACTTTTCTCATTACACTTCAACAGGTACAAGGATGATCCTTTTCTTAAGGGAAGTGCAGCTTACAAGTCTATTCATCAAGTGCGATCAATGCACAAGAAGATATTTGAATTGATGAACAAAAATACCGGCAAAGTGGTTGGTCAAGATAGAGTTTGGGTTTCACAATGTGAAATGGCAATGACTCAATGGGCTTTCTTTGCTCTTCTCATTCTTTACCCGAAAGACTGTGCTGGACATGGGTTGACTCAGGATGATTTGGAGCACATCATTTACCTTTGGCGAGTCATTGGTTATTTGATGGGAATCGAGGATAGATTCAATCTTGGCCAAGGAACTTTCCAAGAATGCAAAAGCTTGTATAAAGTGATCCTTGACGACTTCATGAGACCCAAATTATCCGAGAATCCTCATCCATATCAAACTGGTTATGATGTCTCACATGCAATAGCGAAAGCTTTAAGACCTGTCAACTCAGAGATTCGTTTCAATGTTATACTCAACTATTGGTACAAAATACTCGATATTCCCTACGAGGTTCCATTGAAACCAGTTCACAAACTGAGATTAATGTTTCTTAAATTTGCTCTCAGTACAACTCTTAAATCGTCATTTTTCTATCGTTTTGCATGTGAAAGGCAAAAAAAGAAACTCAAAGCTCAGATGAAGAAAAAGGAAAAAGTGGAAGAACAGTTGACCAAAAAGTATCCCGACATTGTGTTTGAAAGTAAATGTCCATTTGCATGTGATTTAGGTTATTCCGATGTGTTTGACAGGAAACAAGATGAATCGCAAGATGAAGTGAAAATGGAAGATCAAAATGCCAACATTATAAATGCTTAAAATTTGTGTAAAATTATCTAGAAAAGCAATCAAACCTGACAAAGGAAACATTTCAAGAAAGGTGAGTTTAATGTGATACTTGAAGCGATGAGAATGTGTGCAAGTAAACCAATTTTAAGCTTCCTAAAATGATGCTCAAGTGTTTTAATAGTGAAAACTGAATAGTGCAATCCCTCAAAAGCTCAAATGTATCCGTCTAATCAATTTATCAGTATTTGTAACAATTGTAACTATTTTATACCAAAAGTATTAACTTGTTTTATTAAACAGACAATTTCATTGAATTGTAATCAACAATATACAGAAGTGAAAATCGTCTGAAATTTTATTACACTAATTGCAGTTGAACATTTTGTTAACTCATGTTTCAACTTTCATCTCACAAGATTCATTGTTTCAAATGTGATTTTTACAAAGGAAACATAATCATTTCCTTAATCTCCTTGCCAAGCAATAAACATTGCTGTTCCAATTTCACTCTAACCATTTTAAACAATGAAAAGACTCGTCATTTAAGTGTTACTTTTTAATTTTATTGCTTTGAAAAAGAGTAAAATTTCTTGGAGAAACAGTTTTCGTCTTTTAGTTTTTTACATCAACCAAACTTGAAGTCCTTTTTTCAGGAAAAAACAGATAGCTCAGGTCAGAGGTTAGTAACGATTTGTGCAAGACAGTCTTTGAGAAACCCAATAAAACTAAAAGGCAACACCAAAGTGATGAATCTCCTCATTGGACAAGAAAATGTTTTTCTCTTGAAACTAAAAAATGAAAAAACTGAAAAACTAGAGACTAACTTGAAGTTGCTTTTGCAACAAAACATGAAGATGAGCACAAGTCTGAGCTTCTATGAAAATAAACGTGTTACTATTGAAGTGTTCATTAATACACCGAGTTTCCCCTTCTTTTAATATTTATACAATGTATCTAATGTTTATCTATGAGATGAAAATCCATTAAAAGATGAACAATATAATTAATTGAATCATTTATCTACTAAAGCAAAGACACAATAGTTTAATATGGATATCATCTTTAATCTTCAATCTTCATCTCTAACATTTAAGTGAATGCTTGAACTTTACTAAACACAAAACTCTTTAATTGAAGAGCTCGCGATCGCGTAAACCCGATAAGTGCCTTGAGTTTCAATGTGTTCAAAGGTTTTTCATTACATCACCGAGATAATCAGGTAAGATTCTAATAATGTTTCTCTTCGATATCAATTCCTAATCACTAATCCAATCTGTTGAGACTCATTTGCAGACCTGAAATGAAAGCAAAGGATGAGGTCTCTTGGGTTGATCCGGTTAAGGATCAACTTGACAAGAAAAATTTATTGATTTTCACTCAAACAATTTGATTACAATGTATTGCATGATTCATATAAAAATGCTCGTTATATAAAAGCAAAAAATTTTTTTTTTTTCGTTTAACATTAAGTGTAAAATTAAAAAAGTGAAATGTTTTTTTTGGGTTACAAGTTTTGATGATTACAATTGGACTCTGGCAAACTTATTTTTATTAATTGGTCCAAGTGAAATGGTCAAACCATGTAAGTAATGGCAACTCGTTTTTTCAAAGAAATAAATATTTTCTTGTATTGCTATTGAATGCAATATAAAAAACTTTTTGTACTAACATAATAATAATGAATAACATGGGTGCTTTTCTGTATTTTTTTGAATTTGTCATGATTGGAATTCTCTCTCTCTCTCTCTATCTAGGTGGAGATTCAGAAATGAAAATATAACTGGTCATGATTGTTTGGGAGTTGAATATATTTTTCATGATAAAGAAATGCAATTATTCTGAAATTGGAGACAATGCAGAACAGGTAAAACAATAGAAGTAATCTGTTGAAGGATCTGCTCCAGAACACTTGATGTGATGATATTTGCGACAACCGACGCACTTTAGCTGATCAAAGTCTGAAAGATTATTCAATTGTTGAGTACAAAAAGAATCTGAACATTCTCTAACTCCCATGTTAGGAGTTGAATTCAAGGCGATTGCATCAAAAGATTGGACCTGCAATAATTGTCTAAAGTTGTGACTAAGATATTGAATGTACTGGCTAAGCTTTTCCCTGGGATATTTTTTAGAGTCTCCCTGAGGCAAAATTTCTTTGGCTGACGAAAGTACATAATGGATTCGTCGACGAAAATCCCTGGCAGTCGTATCTAGGAGACTTGATAGAGCATTCCTGAAGGCTATTTTGTAGATAAAATAACAAACATAAATCCCAGCATCTGCTTGACTTGTAGTTCTTGGGATATTCAAAGGGTAAAACAATTTCCATTCATCTGGATAAAATTCAACACCAGCCAATTTGTGCGCCAACAAAGTTATCCGCATTAAGTAGTTGTAGTGACGATTATCGATGCCGGGAGAGCCGTCAATGGGATCAAGTAGGGTAATCTTTTGAGAGTTAAGCATAATTACCCCGAGGGTCCAATGACGGCCAATGGGCGTGGCTGGAATTCCAACCAAAATATAATCCTTTTTAAGCGCCTTATTGTTCGCTAAGTACCGGATTAACTTTTCGGCCTCAAAATTCTCCATTACATTATTAAAGAAGCATCGATATAGGTACGTTGGGATGTATAATACGCTCTCTGTCAGACTGAAGACGTTGATTAAATGCTTGGCCCAGTCATTTAAACAGGATTCGTCAATGCAACTTCCCTGTTTGAGGCTGGATAAATCCCGGAAATTCGTCGGCGGGATTTTCGTTGGTATTTCGTCAGTAAAACTGCTCTGGTATTTTGTTAATAAATCTTGACGTTTCAGCGCATGTAATTTATTGAATGTATCTTTAGAAGTGCCACAGGAATCTGGATCAGCTGGATTAATTATTTCAACATTATTTACCAGGTAATTTTCGACTTCAGAATCAGGACTATCATAAACGCTTTCCGCTTGCATAAGTATTAGGATCGTGTTTGTTTTTTTCACGACAACTGCCATCTTGCGGTATTTTCTGGTACTATCAACGAAATCAGGTAACGAGATCAGGTGACGTATTCAGGTGACGTATCAGGATGGCGTGATCAGGAAGTGTAATCAGACAATGATATACGAATTTTGTTTTTCAATTTGTACGAGCTATTTCCATTTCATCAAATAAAATCAGGATCATCAAATAATTAATCAGGATCATCATCAAACATTCAATTCATAATTTTATAAATAATTTAAATAATTTTAAATTAGGTTAGGGTATGTTAGGTTAGATTGAAATTTTTATATACCTGACAGGTAAATAATACGCGCAACGTATTTAAAGCTAAAAGCATTAAATCACAACTTTTATAGTATCAAATTAACTTTAATATCTTTCTAAGTATAAGCAATTATACTCTCAAGATGTTCACAACAACAAAGACAACCTTGCAATGAGCAATCCTTTGTATATAGCTCATTCAAGACTAAAGATGTAGGTGGAGGACTTGATCCTGATGCGCCATCCTTTCCCGAGTAGAGTTGAACAAAAACTGACAACTCAACTGCAAAAAACTCTCCTTTTATACCTGATTGTTGCTGTCCTCAATTGTTAGTTTCACCTTTAAATGTTTATTTATAAATAATCAAACCAGTTTTATTTATTTTTATCGTTATAATTGATTTTTTGACAGTTTAATCTACAATATTCTTTGTTTAAAAAGTTATTTTAATCAAAACTGAGCAATTAGCGGTTCAGCCCACTTTTTGTCTTCCAATATCTTCCATTTTCGAGTCATACTGGATACAAGGATTACAGTCTGATGTTGTATCTATTTTAATTGTTTAATTGTTTACATTTTTACATAATTTTTTTAATTTCTAAACGTGTAAAAACTTGCTCTTGTTTGATTAAAAGCTATTGTGACAACTAATTTGATAAACAAATCATCAGTTATAGTGTTTAAGTGTATTCACAATCTTTCCTATCTATATCAGTGTTTACTTACTTGTTTATTTAGCTTATCCACGTCTCCACTATCTGCTTAGGCCCAACTATAGTGTTTATTGATTAGCATTCTTGACATATTTTTTAAAATAAATGTTTAATCTTTGACACAGTTAAATTAAAATGTACTTTTAAGGTATGTCTACTAGTGTTTATTGTTTTATCAATTGAAACTGTGACAATATGAGTGAGGAGAGCGAGAGAGAGAAAGACAGAAGAAAAGAAAGGAAAGAAAGAGAAGGAAGAGAAAGAAAGTGAGAGTAAAAGTATTATCAACGCCACGAAGTGGAAATAATCAGGAAAAAGTTTTTTGCGCGAATCAATTGGTGATGATTGGTGTTACAATAGTTGATCTTTTTTTGTAACTTGTTTTGTTGATGTTGATGGTTGTGATTAGAGAAGGAAAAACTTATGTTCATATAAAAACTTTGGCCAAGGCATCTGCACCGGCGCTGGCGAAGAAAGGTTTAGAAGGGTGAAAGGTAACATCAAATATTGCCTCGTCAAACTTTTTTCTATGTGAGGTTATTTCTTGTACACAAGTTCTAGAATCAAAGTTCCACAGTCTGACGCTACAATCATGACTACCACTGAGTAAGTGGAGCCCATTTGGATCACAGGCAACACTGGTCACCTCATCGAGGTGAGCCACCATCTCATGTATACACTCTCCACTATTTAGATCCCAAAATTTAATTTTATGATTTTCATGAGCGCTGACCACTACTGGCATAGTTGGATGAACATCTATAGAGTTAGCTCGAGCTAAGTCAGCTGATTTAAGTGTCACTAAGGGTTGATTGAAGGTGCTTGACTCTACATCGTAAATGTGTATGGAACCATCGGTGAAAGAAGAAACCAGAAGAGAATAAGATGAAGTTGAACTACAGCTATGAGGAAGCATACTGGCGAGACTTGTTGGTCTTAAATCGGCTTCTGTATAAAAAACAATTAAAGAGAAAAAAATAAACATGTAATTATTTGAATAAATAAAGCCAATTGAGATTTGCATACCTTGCCATGTGAAAGTTTTAACACATTGATTAGTGCTAATATTCCAGATCTTAATTGTAGAGTCCGCACTAGCAGAGCATAAAAGAGAATCACTTTCACTGCTCGTTGGTAATGAACATAAAGACCATATAGCATCATGATGACCTTCCAGGCTGCCTTGATAAAGGGAAGGGTCGAATGAATCGTAGGGATCAATATTGGCTATATTTGAAGGTATAGTCCAAATGAAGAGTTCTCCGTTTTGAGACCCAGAGTATATTGTGTTTTTGATAAGAGTCAAAGAAAGTACCTTGGAATCATGACCACGGTAAGTGTAAACTGGATCTAAATCAAAAGTGGTATACCCTTGTGTTGCTTGTTGTTTACCTTTATTGGAGGGTGGTTGAGTTTTGTTGAGGTTCCACAATTTAAGTGTTTCATCTTCCGAACAAGTGACTAACAAAGGTTCGCTTGAGTGAAATCGAAGACAACGGACACAATCAAAATGGCTTTTAAGAATATAACGTGGATTCCATGTCTTCCTAAATTCGCTATTTAATGAATTTTGAAGACCATCAGTACCAACACTGGTACCATTAACATCTAGAGATTCCTCACTTAAAGCTGCTAGATCACCTAATTCGACAACATCTTTAGATGCTCCTGACCGCCAGCAGTTCATATCACCTTCTTTTTGAGACCCATTACCGAGAAAGTCAAATTCGGCTAAAACTTCTTCAGTTTCTAAATCCATATTATGTGTTCGATTTTCAGGTTCGATGCCATCATCTTCATCCTCTTCGGCATCCTCAGAGTCTTCATTCATTTGATCATAATTGCGATTACTATGCTTCCTTGACTGATTATCCAAAAATTCAAAAGTTGCCAAAACACTTGCTTCTGCGTCAGAAACGACAGCCATGGCAGGAGATTGCTGTTGTTCTAATCTTCGTATATCAACACCCATAACTTGTTTACCTTTACCTCCACCATCTTCTTGACAGGAATTATTATTTAGTCCCAACAAACTACGAACCCTAGATGATCTAACATCAATAATTGAATCTGTGTAACCAATTTCTTGTAAATACTGCCTTAATAATTGTCTACCGTGTTTCCAATTGACACCATCGGCATCAGCTTCCAGTACTGAATCACAATTTGCACCCCCACCACCAGAAGTATCACCATCTGCGGTATCATTATTACCAGTTCCTTTACTTTCATCTGAAAAATTATCTAATGTAGGAGCATCTACACCATATTTAAGCTTATGATATTTAGCTCTTTCCTGTCTTAGACAGTACTCTAACATTTTAATCCTTCGGACAAGATCAGCTTTGAGGTTCTCCTGGCCTTTTCTTTCACCTTGAAGTAAAGAAATAGTTGCCTTAAGCTCAGTCCTTTCAATGTGCCATTGTTGTCTTTCAAGTTCGAATCGCTGCCATTCACTTTGCAGATAATGTAAAATACAAGGAATTGTGTAAGTCTGAGGTTGTGGTTGTCCCGGATTCGTTTGGTTGTTTCCAGAGTTATTAACGTTATTATTACTATTGTTATTATTAATATTTGATGAATCTCCGGAGTTAGCTTTCGATTCAAGCTTGAATCACCAATGAAAATTTTAAACATGATGGGAATCAATCAAACGTCATGGAAAACAAATAGCGAGTAATTGCAAATGATCCAATAGATTCCACAAGAATGATGAGCGCCAGTTGAGAAGTAGGAGCAAAACGGTGCAAGACAGTGAAATTGTCCAATTTAAAGTTGACCAGCCATTGCAATCATTTCATGAAAGGAAAAAAAGATAAAGAATGATTAGAAACATAGTAATAACCAGATGCATAATATGGGATAAATGTCAAGATGAAATAGCTATGATACAAAGGTTGGGTCAGTGCCTGCTTATATAAATGTCAACTCTTCAGCTGTATGTTTTTATATTAATAAAAGTCTTGGATGCTCATTTCTTCATTTAATTTGTCAATCTCTATTCATGTTATCTCTAATTCCCTTTCATGACAAATATTTTGGTAATAATGTATCATTAGATGTCCTAAACGCAGAATTGAAACTTGGTTGAGATTCTTCACAGGGTAATGCTGGGGAAAATTGTTTCCAATTCAGGGTAATGAGACATTTTCTGTGAGAGTAATGAATGAAAAGATTGTTCTAATCAATGCCATAAAAATGATTACAGCTAGAATGTAGTTTTTTAATTATTAAAAATCAATTGCTTCCAAATTTAACTAAGCATAGACATGAAGTAATGATGATGATGAAGTGAATATAGATAGAGAGGAGATTGACACTAACAGAAAGAAAGAATAGGAACAAAGATAAAGAAGAGAATGCAGATTAATCTGACTTACCATTAAAGAACCGGAGCTCATTATATGGTCACTTTGATTGGATAGTATGCCTTGAATATAACCAATTATAATTAAAAGTTTACTAATTCAAAATTTTTTTTGTTGATACAACACAATTAAATCTACAGGGTTAGTAGAAGGCAAAAAAAGAAAGGGACATAGAAAGAGCCAACATAATAGATCAACAAGCCTGCTTTGCATTGGTTTTTCATTGCTCAGTAAAATGGTGATCCAGAGAAGCGATAGATGTCCCTACGAGAAGCAAATTAAAGCACTAAATTGCACACTTTTATCATTAAATAGTCAGGATTACCTGGAAAGATCTGGTTACTGGTAACCGGTTACATTATTTTAAGGATAATAAGCAAGACTGGTTATTTTGACAACAGGTTAAAATGAAAAAGAGAGTCCACAGATTCTGGTTACAGTAACTATTACACTTTTTAAACGAAAAGCTCATTGAAAAAAAGGTAAAAAGAAGGATTGATAGATGGCAGTAAAAGTCTTTACTGTTTCATTGTTAGCTGTTAAGGCCATCGACTCATTACGCCATTTATCCTTAAACCTGCAAATGTAAGATTCATTGGAAGGAAGAATGGCTGGCTTACACGAATGGCTTATAGTGAACTGGCTTCAGACAAAATATTCCTTTTCTTTTCTCTTTCTGTGGCTCTTTCTTTTTTTTATTAGTCTGATCTAACCGTGAATGTGGAGACTAATTGTGGTTAAATCAAGAGTAAACATTTGAATTAGTGAACTTTTAATTATTATTGGTTGTATTTAAAAGACATTATCCAATCAAAGTGACCATATAATGAGCTCCGGTTCTTTAATGGTAAGTCATATTATTCTGCATTCTCTTCTTTATCTTTGTTCCTATTCTTCTCCCTCTCTGTTAGTGTCAATCTCCTTCTCTTCTATCTCTCATCTATATTTACTTCATCATCATTCTTATTTTATACTTTAGATTATTTTAAATCAAAAGAAAGCACATTTTCTCATTAAATGGAGAAAAATATCATTAATCTATCTCATTAACTGTATTAAATTTCAATCTATTAAATCCATTCACTTTCATTCTTCTCACAGAAAACGTCTTATTACCCTGGAGTGGAAGCAATTTCACCAGCATTACCTAGTGAAGAATCTCAACCAGATTACAGTTCAACATTTAGGACGTCTAAAGATGAATTATTACAAAATATTGATAAAATTGATCGTGAGATATCACAAACAGAGACTCAAATTTCCGAGTTAAAAGAGAGAAAGAAGCAGCTCGAGTTGAAAGCTGTATCCAGGGATTCGGTCAAAGATGTTCGTGAAAATGTGGATAATTCATCTGAGACTCGGCAGCTAAGCATTGCTCAACACATATATTCCGAGAATAGGAAGAAAGCTCGAGAATCACATGCAACTTTGTATAAACTTGGTCCAAAATTTGATCTGCCTCTTTATAATCAACCCTCCGATTCACCAGTTTATCACAAAAACATAGAAAAATTCAAAACTTTCAAACCAAGATTGATTAAATATTTCAAGAGACGCCATGAAGAAAGAAAAGCAAGGGAGAAATATCTTCTGGAAACATATGATAGATTAATGTCCGAATGGCTTAAAAAGCTTGAGAAAAGTGAATGTAATCCAAGTAAAAAAGCCAAAGATAACAAGACTAGAGAATTTTTCGAAAAACAATTCCCAGAATTGCGAAAACAAAGAGAAGATCGTGAAAGACTGTCAAGAGCCGGACAAAGAATAAGGAGCGATGCTGACTTGGAAGAGATAATGGATGGTCTTCAAGAACAGGAATTAGAAGATCGTAAAATGAGAAGTTGCGCAGTGATTCCACCAATAATACAAGATGATAAAACTAGGAGATATAAATTTATTAATTCAAATGGTTTAGTTGAAAACCCTGTAGAAGAGTATAAAGAATTACAGTTAATTAATGTTTGGCTGGATCATGAGAAGGAAATATTCAGAGAAAAATTCCTGCAACACCCGAAAAATTTTGGTCTGATTGCGAGTTATTTAGAGAGAAAAACAGTACCAGATTGCGTCCATTATTATTATCTCTCCAAAAAAAGAGAAAATTATAAGCAACTATTGAGAAAACAAGTTAAGAAGAGAACAAGAGCGCTTGTTAAACAACAACAGCAACAACAAGCCCAACAGCAAGCTCAACAGGCATCTCAACAACAATCAGATGCTAAAGGGCAAGCCGATGAATCTTCTCAAGCTGCATCCGGGACAGAAGCTAATAGTGAATCTTCTCAGAATGTCGTAGTTCAGAACGATGTTGATTCTAATTATTCATTAACTTCTAAAGGTGAATCTAAGGATTTATCTAACTCTGGGAATCAGCCCGATAACTCTTCTGCCGTTTCTTTGCCTTTACCCGGTGTTACCTCCAGTAGTGGAACTAAAGGGCTCAATGACTGCAATGGAAAAAGAGATCTTAGTAACAAAAGACATCAAGGCAATGCTGATGATATTAGTGACAATGAGGAGAACAAGTGTGATGGACTAGTTATTAAATGCTGTGTTTGTGAAGATGTTATACCTCCTAATAGCAAATGTTCATCTATAACTAAGTCAAATTATCACCTTTATGGTATTAATTTAGACGAGATTAAAGGAGAATTAAAAGTCTGCCTGAATTGTCGTTTCAAGCATGTACGGAAAGAGTGTCCTATTCAATCATGTAAAACTGCAAAGCGAAAGGTTAAGCGTTTAAAACTTCTACCGCAACAATGGTTTGATCTGCCGAATGATTTAAAACAATCTATTGCCAAAGAAATGAACATTCCGCCTGATATACGTAAATGTTGTACTCGCTGTGTAATACGCATTTCTAGAAGAATTGGAGCCATCTCGCCCTTATTAACTTATACTCGGAAATCTTTCACTAATGAATATCATGATTGGAAGGACGAAGAGATAAATAAACTAAAAGATGGACTTTCTACGAAGGGTAAAAACTGGGGCGAAATATCTACTATTGTGGGATCAAAGGATGCTGATCAGTGCAAAGAATTTTATTTCAATTACAAGTACAAATTAAATTTGAACCAATCTATTGATAGCTACTGGAGTAAAATCGGCGATTCAAAGCCTCAAGCGAGTGACTCAGAGGATTATTGGAAAGATAATAGTGAAGATGATAGTGAGGCAACATCAAGTGCTGATGAAGGAGTAGAAAAATCAAACAATGATACAATTAACACATCTAGCCCGCCAACCAAGATCTCATCTGGTGAAACTGTACCAACAACAACTACTACAAATACCTGTAATCAATACAATGCTGCAGTAACTACTTCACAGACGATTCCTGTAACAAGTGAAAGTGTGACGATAACAACAAAACCGAGAAATTCTTCTTCAACTAGTGGAGATGGAAGTGATTTGAGTAGCTTCCCTGAAAACAAATTAGGTGACCTCAGAGCGATAAGTACTTCACAAGGTAGTCTTAAGAGTGATTATGATAGTAGTGCTACGGTCAGTGCAGATGAAGGACGAGGTAATGGCGATGATGACATGAGAAGCTCTCCACCTTCGTCCAAATTACCACAAAGAGCAAACTCGGTTATGCCTGCCTTTCCTTCATCAAATCATGTCATCCTTCCTAGTACTGATCGAGCTGTGAGACCAGCTAGTCATGATCCAGCTTTTACACTGGAACCCGCTTTATCTCACTCTAGCCGACCTATGGAAGGACTTGTTGCACAACAACGTTATCGTGCACCTCCATTTCTTATTCATCATGATGCTAACTCCATAAGACCTCCAACATCTAACCCTATACCTTTGCTTAAAATTAAAACTGAAAATGTACTCGGACCACCACCTGCAAGTTTCCCAGAAGAAAAGCCCCGCTTTGTTAGTGATATAATTCATCGGGTCATTGAAACTAGTTTTCGTTCACCCATGTCTTCGGGTAAACCATTGACTTTGCCACTCGTACCAGAAGCTAACCACTCTCTTACTGGATCTTACAACTCCAGTGGTCCAAGTGGCCAAGGCATGCCACCTCAATCTGGCAGAGAAAGCCATCCAATGTTAATAAATAATTCACCTGTTCCAATTTATCCTCCTGAAATTAAAAAAGAAATACCTTCCGAGCCTTGCAAGTTTGGTGCTAACATCAAACCATCAACATCAAATGAGATTCGTGTTCCTCGATTTAATCCTCATCCATACATTAAACCCGAAGGACTTGCTATGATGGCATCGTATCCACCTACATATCCTACAAGCGTTGTGTTCCAACATCCCCCTTCAAGTGATCACGACAATGAGATTCAAGATCTCAGTAAGAAGACGCGCAAATTAGAAGAGCCTTACTCTCAAAGCAATCTACCTCCTCCTAAAAGAGAAAGATTTGACTCTCCTCCCAATATACGCGGAAATGAGTTTAAAAATTCTCCTGTGCCTCATGATCACATGACTCCAACTCCTCCACCCGCTCATTCCAATCAATTAAAGAGGACGCCTATTCCTGACTTACCTGTTTCTAATTTATCATCTTCTGAAAACGTACCCATGAGTAACAGACCTATTGAATCATCTAGGGCAGAAGAAAGTGGTTTCATGTTTAGCGACAGACCCGGTTTCAGCTCTATGATGGTTTATGGACCAAGTGGCTCACCTTTACTTAGACCTGCAATAAGAACGCCAACTAACAAACCTCCTCTCTCTTCTGCATCTCCTGTGATTCATACTCCTCCTCCTCCTTTGATTGCATCCAGCAAAAGTTATCCAATGTCAAGTGGAGTGCAATTATCCCCTCAGCCTTCCTACCGAGATAAAGTTATCCCGCCGCAAATGGTCTCTGCTTCGGGCTCAATCACTCAAGGAACGCCGATTATCATGGCTCAGCATGGGCAAATGCATTCAAATCAATATAACCAGAATCGTTACGAAGGGTTGTTCCGACAACTTACACCTACTTATCCAAAAGACTCTGGTTCTATAACTTTAGGTACACCGGTTCCTCAAGATAACTCTAAACGTAAGAATGAGCTTCCTATGCGACATGATGGTCTAGGTAAACCATATGGACCTGGTGTTTATGACACTGGTCCTATGGATCCTTATTATCGACGGATGCCAGGGTCAAACATGCCTTATCAACCTCAAAATCAGCCACAATACCATGGGTCACCTATTAATTTTCCTCCTAATGAGGGGCACATGAAACCTAAATTCCAAGTTGAATCTCAATCAAGTATCAATCAAATTATGATTGATTTTAATACATCAAAACAAATGCAACCTCGTCAAAATCCATCAGCTGATGTTAAAGAGCCACATTCCATATCTTCATTGTTAATGAGATCAGCAGACTCAAATCCTCATATGTCCCCACAAGGGAGAGTACCTTCATCAATGTATCCCTTCGCTCCTCCGGCCAATATCGCTAATATTGTTGCTGCCAGTGGAGTGCCATCTCAAGTTATTATGGGAAATAACGATCCCAGATATCCCAATCCTTCATCTGTGGCACCTCGATTGATGCACTCCAATCCTTCTAGATCAAGTCCAACACCAGAGCATTGGATTTCTAAAGCAGGTCCAACGCCTGGTTACCCTATTGTGACGATGGTAAGTTACCTTTTAAATATATTTATTTTCTCACCTAAAGAACCTTGCTCATACTATTTTTGTTGTTTTCAGGCAAAACGTCAAAATGTAATTCAACAGTACAATGCTCCTGGTTGCAAACAATCGGTTATTCAAAGTGTAAAATCTAACTCACCGCGTGATGTCGGAATGAGACAAGAACCGTGGCCGTCACCGAGATTCATGAGTTCATCACCAGGTTATTCCACATCACATGACGCTTTTCAAACACTTGTTGATGCTGCAGTGGCGCAAAAAAGTCTTGCGATACCACCCACAAGAGAAGATCAACAGCGCATGGGAATAATGAATTTAGCTAGAAGTGTACGTCAATCTAAGTCACCCTCGAATGAGAGACAATCCAATGATTCTATCGAAAAAACTTTACATGATATGCATCAAAGATCAAGACCTATTCAAGATATGGGCAATTTGAGGTTTGGAATGGATGATAGACTGAGATTACTTGAAGCAGATAAACGATGTTTAATGCCTAGCAACGATCCTCAACAACAACCAGGTAGAAGTAGTGTTAACCGTTCCGAAGAAGATAAATCTATGGATAATAAATACTTACCTTGTTCATCCGAGTCTTTAAGTCCCCAGACTAGTCATAGACTCCCTTTCACGAAAGAGTCGTTCGAGAAAGAGTTGAGACACCAGGACTCAAGATTACAAGATTCCTATGGACGTAAATCTGCAGAGTCAGCGGAGTTGCAGAATAATCAATCTAAAAATCTTTCTAGAGCTCAATTAGTTGAATTAGGGGATATCGAGGCTTCAAGAATATTTTCCCAGTCTTTCCAAAAAGATGAAAATCCTCGAAACCATTCTAAAGGAGAGATTACCGCAGCTAATATAATCGATGCTATTATTACCCATCAAATTAATCAATCGGGTGAAGAAGGACCTGGAAAGGAATCTCAACAATCGCCTAATTCAGCAGAGAATAAGACAAGTGAAGTGAGACCGGCCGTTTCAACATCGGCAAATGAAAATGCTGTTAGTTATTCAATGAATGAACAAAATAAGCAACAAGAGAGAGAAGAAAACCTTTCTAAATCTTTTGATAATCGAACCAGTTTCGATCAGAATCAACAACAGCCTCAACAAATGCCTATTAATCAAATTGAAAAAGACGATCCAACATCCAACCAAAACTTTAGGGATCATATTGCGACAATAATTTCTAAAAGCTTTTCAAACAATTCAAAAGTCACACCAATTGCTCAACCAGTTACAATCATACCTTGCTCACAAGAAAATAATCCTTCCCAAGTACAACCTCTTCTTCAAATTCCTGTTAGCTCTTTAATTCAAACATCAAATAGAACAACTGTCTCAATTTCAAGACCCAACTCTAGACCTGGTGACTCAACTAATACCTGTGTATCATCTGAGGCAACATCACATTCGGAGAATCCTCATTCAGATTGGAAATTAAGGAAAGCTTTGCAGCAACAAACAAAGATTGATAATGAAAATGCTCAAACTTCGCTTAGTAGTAGCAGCAATAATTTGACCCCAACTACAACCACTGCAGCTACAACGACCAACAGTTCGAGTAGTAATATCGATGAAAATCAATCCAAAGAAACACCACGTGCCGAAAGTCCTTACCGTTCTGCTAACTGGATGAGTAATTACAATTTTGAACCGATTTCACCTCCAAGTCCGGCGGCAAGTGATGACAATGATGATAAATGATTTGATGAATTTTATTTTTTAGAGAAAGACGAACAGCCTGTTGTTTTACTTATCTTAAGCAAACACAAGCATGGAATTATGATGAATTTAAAGGTTTTGAATCGCAAAATCTAATTGTTTATGTTACAGCAATTATTGATTATGATGTCAGATTGACTTCAAATGTGAAATTCAGAAATAAATAATAGGCTAAAGTGAATTGTAATGTAAATTTCATGCCTTGACAACAAGAGTTGACTCGATTTTTCATTGTTTTCTTGTTATAATAAGTGTATTTATTACTTTCAAATTACAATTTTTGGCAAGATCATAACAAAATTAGTCCGATGTTTAATTATTGTGATGATTGGAAACTTGTTTCATTTGGACAAAGCATACCATTGGCTGTTTGGCAGCAAATTTAACTCAACCTCATTTTTGCAAATAAACATAATCCTTTCAAAAAATCCTATTAATTTCAGTTTTCACTATTATTAAAACATTTTACCGCTTTTTATTTACATTCAATTTAGTTCAAGGATTTAATAAATTCAACATTGTTTATTTATTAATGTCAAATTGAGATACGAAAACAAAGGAAATAATAATCCAGATTTCCGTATTAATTAAACAACTTTCATTAGATGAAATAGCCCAAGATCATTACGGTTCATAGCAACCCTTCCTTCTCAGTGACAAACTACTTAATGCCCATCCCAATTTTATAACAACATTACACATTACATTACATTACACAGTGCTGGAAAAATGTTTAGAAATTGCTTTTCTGTGGTTGCTTTTTGAGCTCAAATGCAGAATGCATTCGAAAATGGTCGTTCCTCCATAGAACCCAATGTCAAATCTCCGTTCAAATTTTTAACGCTTAGGTTAATCCAAATCTTATCAAAATGAATCTAATATTGTATCACCTTTTGAGAAATTATTTGGGAAAAATTCACGTAATTATCTCAATTGGTTTTGACAAAATAATGAAAATCTCTAAATATTGTGCCAATTATTTTTGATGCATGAAAATCGAAGAAATAAACGCTTGAACTTCCACTTTTTGGGCTGATTTTTGATCAAAGGTCAAAAGACTTGAGGTCAAAAACTAATTTTTTCATATTAGCTCTTTGTATGATCCAGTTAAATAACACAATTACCTGACACTGTCTAACAAAGTAAGTAAAAATGAAGACATGAATGCAGACTTTTAGTCAGCAAGATTTTTAATAATATAATAAAATTGATTCTGGATGAAAAGCTTCTTGCTGAAAATGAGTCTTACTTGAATCATCATTCCATACTAAATGGTTAAGATATTGAACCATTATACAATATTGTAATAGATAGCAATGAAGACGAGGAAAGTTCGCTCTATCTAGTGGACAATGATAATTGAAACTGACCAATTCAAGGTCACACTAAATCGTTCAACCGTTTCCTTGTCATCGACTTAAAACAAGGAAAACTATTTTCCATAGTTCTCAAAGAATCACTTTGGCAGTTGATTAATCTATTCTTAATTGTATTTCTTATCAATTACCTCAAACTCCCATTAACGTTCGATGACAATTTGTTTAAATTTGTATTATTTGCTTAAATAGCCAGGGAAATGACAATTATGACTGATTGCACGATCAAAAACTCAGTCACCTTCTTGACCAAACAAACAAAAGTGAAGATTTTTGGGAATTTCCTACGGGGCCATCAAAAGCACTCAAGCCTTGCACACTGGTGACCATAAAGTAGCCGTTTACTTTTGATGTAAACAACATTATTTATTAATAGTTTCCATTCCCACTTATTTAACCAGTTACCAGAAGTGAAGACTCATCATGAACAAACCATTCTTATCTCTTGATGTTCTTTGATAAAAACAAGTTGTGAGCCAAAATGTCAGTTTAAACCAATGTGTTGAAGGCAAGCAGCATTTAATTAGATGATTAAATTATATAAGCTTTCAATTTTTAATATTGACTTATTTAACGGTAAACACACCGGTAACTCACAGAGACACGAAAGATTTTGATAAAACAATGAGACCAAATAAATGGAATGAAAACAGCGAAATTAGGGAAAACTCATTATCTTGTCCACAATTATCGTAGATAAACTATTAGCTAATTTTAATCATATCATTTAATGGCAGTGTTTCCTTTTCATGTTCATTAGTTATTACCCTCAGGCTTACGTTAGAACCTCAAGGTTTGCACTTTTCTGATACATAATAATACTTTAAAATCAAGTGTGCTCTATCAGAGGGCAGTTTCAATTTTAAGCAAAATCCTTTGTTTGTGGCTGCTGTCACACTGCCCTTTGTGGTTCAACATAACAGTTACAGATTGGATTGTCCAGCCAAAATTTACTATGGCTAATGTTCAATTGTTCACCATTGAAACAGTGAAAATAATTTCCCTCTCAACGGTTTCATATTTTGTTTACATCTACTTATTAAAGCCTGTTTTGGATTTTGTTTACTCCATCATTTATTACCATGGATTTAATTACTACCCAAAAAGTTTACTTCTTGGCCATTTTAGACAAATTATGCCTAATTTCCCGTTCACGGACAATATGGAAAATGCCACAAGTGAGAATCTGTTTTAAAAGTAAATTTTTAACCCAATTATAACAATTATTATTTGTTATGCAGGAAATTTATATGAAGCCATTGACAAAAATATTAAACACAATCAAGACGGTTCTTTATCAGTTTTCTGGCTTTCGGTGATTCCAGTTGTTTTAATTTCAGACCATGAAGCAGTAAGGGTAAGTTGACAATTGAAATTGAAATTTATTTGTTTATCACAAGTTGTCTTTCACTTAAATTGTTGAAATATAATTTCATTGTCTTATAACAGTTGAGTTAAATTGATGAACTAATCTTGATTTTCTCTCTGTTTGAAATAGATTGTTAATAACAAGACAAATTTGAAAAAACCATATTTATATAAATTGATTGACTTTGGGACGGGATTGCTTACTTCTAAGCCTGATATCTGGAAGGTTAGACGAAAATTGATTGAACCATTCTTTGCGACTAAAAAATTGAAAGGTTTTGTTAAAGTAATGAACGAAGAGGTTACATCATTTACCGAACAGTTGAATGGTGAAATTGGTAAACCTGTCAACTTGGAGAGTCAAATACACTACAGTACTTTAAACATCATTTTAAAGGTTGTTACAAGTTTACCCTTAAAGGATTCATTCCTCGTCAAGAAAGCAGCAGTTGAGATAATTAATGAAAAGACAGAGTATGTGATAAAACGAGGGGCAAATCCGTTTTACTGGTTTGATTGGATTTTCAGATTTTTTCAATTTGGTCGAACTTATTTTAAAAACAAAGAAGATGGAGAAAAATTACTCAGCTATGCTTTGCACCGAAGGAAGCAACTTTCACTGTCAAATGAACCAGAAGACCAGGATTTAATTCATTTGCTTGAATGTAAAGTAGATGAGAAAGGAGTTTTTGATGAGTTTATCACCATGATTGGAGCTGGACATGATACAGTAGCAGTTGCTTTACGTTGGATTTTATTCAATCTCGGTAAGAGTTTTAAATTTTGAGGAAAACCATTTCAATTGAAAATTAGATTGTATAACATCAATGATTCAATTTATATCAAACAATGAAATAATCAGTCACCGAGTTCTGGTCAACGAAATTTTAGTATCGCCATCTATTGCATTTTCATTTGTATTAATAATTGGACAAAATTGTAATTATCCATAGATGGCGATCTAAAATATTAATAATAAGTTCAACTTATTAAGTTGATTCTAGTTGATGTTGACTCTACTGATTTGACTTGATTTTTGGCGATTACGCTTTAGACTTAATTTTACTGTTACACTACACAATGTATAGTGTATTATTCATCAAACAGTTGTTGTTAATTTCTGGATGTTTCTTTTATTTCAGGCAACCATTTGGATAAACAAGAACGAGTTTATCAGGAGCTTGTTGACCTTTTTCCCGATGATACACCAGTGGATGATTTGGATAGGATCAACCAATGCCAATATCTTGAACAGTTCATAAAAGAATCTCTTCGTTTAAATCCTTCTGTCCATGGTACGGCAAAAGTTCTGGAAGAAGATGTCACGATAAGGGATAAAAAACTTCTCAAAGGTTCATACGTTTGGACTATAATTTCCTCCACTCACCGTGATCCAAGTGTTTATCCTGATCCAGATAAATTTGACCCTGAAAGATGGACCCCTGAAAATGCGTCCAAAATACCGCAAGGAGCTTTTATACCTTTTGGTTATGGACCAAGAAGCTGCATTGGGAGCCGCTATGCAATGGCAAAGCTTAAAATATACACCATTCAAATTGTCCGCAAATTTAGCCTAAAGTCAACTCGAAAGACTGAAAGTATCCCGGTTAAGTTTGAAGTTACTTTGAAACCAGTTTTACCTCTGGAAATAATATTGACACCAAGAAATGGCAACAACAATCAAAGTTAAAGGCAGACAAGCTATTTTTCATGATTGCTCTGCACAAATTTTAGATGATGAATCTATTTAATTTAATGTATAAAAAATTAAAATAATATTGTTTGTACCTTGAAAAGATCAATATTAGATCAATATTTATGATTGTTACTCTAAAAATAGACTTTAATCTGAAAAAATATACACAAACAACTAAGTAATTCTGAAGCTTTTTTAATCAACTTGTCAACATTTTGAATCTAATACTTCCTAGAAACATTCTGTATCTTTGTTTACACTTGAGTTTAACACAGATTGAAAGGTTCAATCAGACTTTGAGCTAATCCTTCATCTTATGAATGATACAACACCTAATAGACTGAACCTTGATCATGTGCAATTTAACCAAGAACAAGTTGATTCATTCATTTTCAAGTAATAATTGTTTAATAAAAGTCGCTAATTTATAAATGGAAAGTCAATTGTTTCATTCAATTTGCCTCTTCATTATTCACTCAAGTTGAATGGTTTGCAGACAATCAATCAAAAAATCATTGTGATTATCAAGTTAAAAAAGGATCTATTTAAAACAGCGGCTCATAATTAAAAGCATCATCTTTGGACTCAAGTTATGCCAAATTGGCATTGCACATTTAACGTCATTTTTACTTTACTTTTTAAATTTATTCGTACTTTCCTTTAAATAGTAATCATGGTTGTTTATAAATAGCACTGAACCTAATTACCTTTAACTAATTTTAGTTTACCCATAACATTAAACATTCAACCAGAATATACCTTTTCACTCAAACTCAATTTTCATAACAGAATTAAATTCATTATCTAATTGTCTGACTGTAAAAACAAGGCTAATAGCAATTATCATGCAAAAACCGAAGTCGAAGCTCCAAAGGAAATATTGATTTCACCTCATTAATGGCCCAATAAATACGTATTCATGTCAACAATGAAGAGTCTGCTTACAATTGTACTTTCATTAAGACTCTTGATTAATGGCTCGAGTTTAGGGTCAAAATTAGATTGTTGTTAGAGCATAATTGAGCAGTTAATAAACTCTGGATGCTTTATGACAGGTTCATTGTCACTGTTTTGTTTGCAAATGCAAATGTTTCTCATTGTGTTCATTCCTAAGATCATAAATTAGAGCAAAGTGATCAAGATTAATTGAATCTAGAGAAACTCTTAAAAGTCAAGTTCAAATACTCATCATTTGATTCAGCAGTTTGTTATTTCGCTTGATACTGACTTTAATCACTGTTAATGTAACTAAATCAATGGATATCTTTAAAAGGTCTATTTGAAAGTGAACACAAGTTAAGTACAAGATGCAAATTTCAAAATCAAGGGAAAAGAGGAGGAAGAGACTCAGATGAAAATGAAGATGTAAAGTTTATCAAGGTGTTGTCAATGGGAGGATAACTCTTTAAAGATGATAATTTTCAAGCTGCCTACGCGATCGTTAAATGAACGATCGCCTTAATCAACGCCTATTTACATCCCATTGACACCACAAACCAACCTCAATTCAATTATCATTTGTACATTTTACTTTTAAATTTACTATTCATGATTCTTGCATTGGTTCCATTGAATGGAAAACATTTAAAAAAGTTAACTGTTTCCCTAATAAACCAGAATCTTTCTCATTGTTTCCCACCATTAGAGTATTTGAAAGAGTGAATATTGATTATCAAAGTGTTTCATCAATACCAGCTTTCCATTGAAACAATCAGCTTAAAATTCACTTTAAATCAAGGTTTTATTGACCTTATCAACATTTTAATTATTCTGCCATCATCTGTTTATTAACGGTTGACCAGTCAAGATAATCTTGGAAAGAGTTTACTAGAGTCTCCCCCTTTCCCTCTTTTCCAGCAAACTTTTGGTTAAACAGAAGACACAAAAGACTCAAAAAAAGAGTCTAAATTCAGTCTTAATGTACATCGACCTCTTCGCCTGATACACAGAATTTCTTTCTTTATTCTACCAACCTAATCGTCATCATCACCCAACATCATCATTACCAACATCAACAACATTGGTGTCTCTTTCACACATCCTCTGTTCTCTTTATTTGTCGTATCTTCTTTTACATTGTAATCTGACTTTCTCTCTCTCTCTCCTTCTTATTGTAACATTTGTTCAACAATCAATCCCAATTGACAAGGACCACTTGTTTATCCAGCCATGTTTATAAACTCATCCTTTTGATTGTGAGGATAATATCAATGATAATTTCAGAGAGATTTAATTGGCATGATTCCTCACAACATTTGTGTTGACTATTACAACACAGCCATCGCCAGGAGAAACAACAACAACATTACCTCTGACTCTCTTGTTTCTCTTCTTTTCTCTTCTATAATCTGATCTTACTTGTCATTGATTATTCATCAATGATGGTGATAATTGTGAGGATTGAAAACTCCCTTTGCCAAAATAAACAAATTGATTGAAGTTCGGGGGGAAAAGCTCAATTAAATATCATCTGTTCAGCCATTTACTTTTTACCAGTGACTTGTTTCATTTCCTCTTCCATCAGTGACCAGTTTACATGTGATTGTTTTTCCATTGAGTGACTCCGCCCTTGATTTGGTTTACTGTCCGAGGATGTTTTACTGTGCAATATAACCATTATCATTTGTTTAATTATTGTTGTATATTGTGTCAAGTTTGGTGAAAACCGTGGAAACACTATATACAAAAGTACAACAGTCTTTTGAAACGTAATAAGCAACAAAGAGGAACCAACTAATTCTCATCTTCACTTCTGGTAAACTGGTTTCTCTCCATCTATTATTCTTAAAGTTTAAAGCCTTTGTCAATCAACTTACAGTTTAATTTCACTTCCATCATCATCACCACCATAATTATTTTCATCTTTCACCATGATAAAGCGTTCTAGTAGTGCTCAGGTAATTAACTTTATTCTCATTCTTTGTTTTACTTTTAACCACACCACAACTTTTTCGTGTCTCATCTAATTAAAACAATTTTGTGTTTATCTTTTCATTGTCCATCAGGCTGTGTTCAAAATACGAAGTAGCAAATTTCGTCATGTTCATGAAGTTTGCTGGAAAAAAGAACTTTGTTATGATAATATCAAAATAACCAAAAATGCAAACGATTCACAATTTTGTGCAGTTAACCCAAAATTTCTGGCCATTGTCACGGAAACAGGCAAGTCTTTAAAATACATAATCAATAATTTTTCGAAAGTTCACATTATTCTGTTCAATGTAAACGTTTTTATATCTCAATCAATTGTATTAAACTCATTCTAATTTGTGTTTTACTCTTTTGTTCTCAATTGCAGCGGGTGGTGGTAATTTCATCGTAATTCCAATCGACAAGGTACAACTCATTTTACTGGTTTATTTGGTCATTTGATTGCAACTTGATTCAAATTTCAATTTTTCTCGATTTAAATTAGGTCTCACCTGCTCCTTTTTGAGTTAATCACGATAGTTTATGATCAATTTGTTTTCCAGTTTTTCCTATTAACCTCTTTGTTTTTCACTCTCCCTTCTTTTTAAATTCATTCATCTGTTAATCTTTCCACCCTCTTTCCTTCCTTTGATTTTTCTTGTTCTCTTCAATCATTCCTGGTTCATGACTCATTCATTGATCTATCTTTTTTGTTCTTATCCAGACTGGTCGGGTAGAAGTTAACTACGGAAGAGTTACTGGACATCAAGGTCCGGTTTTGGATCTTAAATGGAATCCTTTTAATGATAATGTAATTGCTTCCTGTTCCGATGATTGTACGATAAGGCTGTGGTATATTCCAGATGATGGAGTTCCCAAGAAAAACATTTCTGAATCCATTATGACTCTTTGTGAGCACAAGAGAAGAGTCTCTTTCATTGAATGGCATCCAACAGCGGACAATATCTTGGCCTCTGCAGGCTTAGACCATATCATCATTCTTTGGAAAACTACAACCGGTGAACCCGTAAAATTCATCAATTGTCATACTGATACCATCCATTCCATGTCATTTAACCGTGATGGCTCACTCTTAGCTACTACTTGTAAGGATAAAAAAATTCGTATAATTGATCCAAGACAGTGTTTAGTTATCTCAGAAGGAATCGGTCATCAAGGTGCAAAAGCATCAAAAGTAGTATATTTAGGTGATTCAGGACGACTTTTCACTTCAGGCTTTTCTAAATATAGTGATCGTCAATGGGGTATCTGGTCCCAACACGATTTAAGCAAACCTCTTACAATGGAAAACATTGACTCATCATCTGGTGTATTATTTCCCTTTTATGATCATGATACCAAAATGGTCTATGTTGCTGGTAAAGGCGATGGATCTATACGTTATTATGAGATAACATCAGAATCTCCGTGGTGTCATTATATAAACCAATTCATCACTGGTCTACCCCAAAGGGGACTCGGTATAATGCCCAAAAGAGGCTTAGATATACATAAATGTGAAGTTTTTCGTTTTTACAAGCTCCATGCTACTCGACCTCTTTGTGAACCTATCTCTATGGTTGTTCCCAGAAAATCACATCTCTTCCAAGCAGACATTTATCCTGATACACTGGCGCCCACACCTGCATTGACCGCTGATGAATGGTTAAGGGGTAAAACTAGATCTCCTATACTTATTTCAATGAAGGTAAAAGATAATTGTATTGAAATATTTGTTTCAAACAATTCATTAATATTTTAATTTCAAATTTATTTTCAGACTGGAGCTGGAGCAAAAACCCATAAGCCTGTCATGTTTAAAGGAAGCAGTAATTCTTTGTTGACATCTGACTTCAATAATGATCGGAAATTTATATTCTTGTCTCAAGAAAATATTGTTGATTATCGGCCAAAATCTGAAACAAATAATGGTCAAACCAATGGTAAAAATCGCCATAGCTATTTACCGCCTTCAAATAAAAAGTTTCCCTGGATTAAAGATGATGATATTGGCGATGATAAATGCACCGAAGAAGAGAAAATTTGTTTTGATATCGTTCAGAAACGTGAACTTCCCATGGCTGAGTTTGTCAATGTTAGTGATTATGAAAACAGCTACGAATCAAAAAGTTCCCTTACTTCTCATGATCTCATTATACCTAATGATAAAGAAGAGGTTTGTTCCTTGAATTTATTTGTTTTTAAATCTTGTCCTGGAAACAAAAATTGTTTTCAATATTTTTACCATTGCTCCCTCATATCTGTCAAAGCTAACAAAAGTTTATTTTTTATCCTCCTTTTAATCCCTCTCATCCCTAATTTAGTTAATCAGAGCATTTCGTCGTCATGTGGAAGATGTCGAATTCCTTCGAACTCAACTTAGACTCAAGGATGAACGAATCAAACAGTTGGAGAAACAACTCAAGAATCTGTCAACTTACAATTGAAAGATCTCAAACTTGCTCTTCATTTTTCTCTACTTATATCCTAAACATCGTCATTACCTTTCCTTTTTATCTCAAAGCTCAATCTGAATCAGATTGATTTTAGATAGAAAGTTAATCCTGTCTGTAACTTTAAAATTCTTACTAGGATTTTAATAGAAGACAAATCCCTCGATCTTACTGTTGACTCTTGTTATGAATACAAAGAAAAATAGTTCATTTTTTTCTGTATTCATTAAACAAGAAATACAATGACTGCAATGCAATCATTTGCGGCAATCGCCTGTGAAATAGATTCCAAACTCTTTTTCGCATTTATTAATACTAATGCCAATGAAATAAGATCCTGTTTTATCGTAAGTGCAGTAAAAGGTTGTTAAATGAAATGAGTAGAGAGATAGTTAGCTTTACATTTCAAGATTAATATTATTTTGTATTACGGAGCAACCAAGTATCACCAATGTACGCAACAAAACTGCAAGTTATTACTCATGTTCAATCTTTAAGTCTGGAACCCTGAATTTCATCATTCACATGTTCTTTTTTCGTCAATCTTTTATCCCTCTCACATGACTCATTATTTATGCATACATAGTCACTAAAAAAGGAGAGTCAACTAATTCTCAAGTTTTGTTACTTTAGTTTCATCGCATTTAAAATTAGTTGACTCGTCCTAAATGTACATTAATCTGATAGATTCTCCACATTTAAGTTTTCAGCGTATAAAATTCATCTTCAGCTAACACGCAATTAGACTCAAGCGTTTTGCTTCTCAAGTTTTCTTGGATATGGATCTACATTCAACTCTAAATAGATTGGGGCTTCGAAATTCAAGAGCAAAATCTTCATGGATCGTTAAAATGCATATTCTGTTCCGTTAAACCTTTTAGACCAAGGCTTCACTCTACATGAAAGCGCAATCATCTCTAAATGATGTTTTTATGAGGACTTCTGCACTTATTTAAGCTGTTATTTTATTACAAAGCTCGACATTATCAACATCAAACAATGCATTGGTCTGAAGAGGGAAAATCTCAAATTTCACTTACTCAGATTGCTGGAACTTTCTATTGCCTTTCTTTCCCGTTTTGTCCAGCTAATTGTAAAAAAAACTTGCTTTTACATCAGTCATGAAACTTTTTCAATGATGATTGTTTTTTGGTAACCTCAGTTTTCTTTCTTGTTTTGATAAGGTTATCTTTTAATCAGTTATTGAAAATACATGTATTTTCTTTATAAAGTTTATATTTTATTTCGTCTAAATTGTTCTATAGCTATGAAAATAGCCATTGAAACTCCACCTGAAGTTTCAATCGATTGCAATTGGATGTAAATTGGAAAATAATGAGAAAAAATAAAAAAACTGAATAAAAAATATCTTCAAGGAAACTCGATGAGATTACACAAAATTATTTATTTCTTCCACTTTTGTATTTATACCTTCAATTATCCATAAATTGTAATAGAAATAAGATAAGTAAGATGTCCATAATTAGACTTTAACTAACATTGGCTTGCCAACTTCTTCGGCTTTATCTTTTCCTAAAAGTTGTTCGATGATTGCAAGACCAAATTCAAAGGCAGTTCCGGGAGATCTACTGGTTATTAGTTTACCATCAACCACAACTCGATCTTGTTGATAGGAGTAACTGTCAGCTAGCTCAGCTTCTTTCCCAGGCCATGATGTTATCCTTTTTTTCAACCCAATACCATGACTTTTGAGAGCGATTGGAGCAGCACATATAGCACCAATCCATCCACCAGATGATTCCTGTTTCTTCAATATATCACCAACAACGGCACTAGCAGCAAAAGCCTCAGCTCCACCAAGACCTCCAGGTAATATGACTATATCAAATTGTGCCGATTTAACCTCATCCAAAGACTTGTCAGGAACAATGACAACCATACGTGAACAAGTGATCGGTCCAGATCCTTCCAACCCTGCAATCGTAACATCAATCTACAAATTCAAGGATAAAAAGAAATTTAATGTTAAGTAAAGTAATTTTTTGATACGATAAAAATTGATATTTACTTACACCCGCTCTTCGAAGGACATCACCGGTGATGATCAATTCCATCTCTTCAGATCCAGTAGCAGCGAGAACTAGAGCTGTTTTAGCCATATTGGTAACAAACTGTCGATAGATAAATTCACGATTAACTAAATTTGGTTGGAAAAATAAACGCGTAGAATGGGTTAAATATTTCAACATTCAATTTGTTATTGCATGGCAACAACATAGAAATTTTTGCATCAATTTACGTTAGATGGCAGTTAAAAACTCAAGCTTAACTATAATTAGTACGAACAATTTGGTGTAATTACATTATTAACTATCTGATCAAGGTTTTATATTGCACCATTGACAATCATTATTTGGTTCATATTTCTAGACTACTTGATTATCCTTCACTTATCAATTAAGATTTACAAACTTTCATTCTTTTCCCATCAAAAGTTAGACAATTTTGGCGTCGTTTTTGAATCAGAAACAGGAACAATCAAAATTTACATTAGTATATTGCTTCGAAACTCAATTAAATGTAAGCTAATACAATAAACTGATCCCAAAAGGCCATTAATTCATCTTTATGATAAAACTGGACAAAACATGGTCCAATCATACATTAAACAAAGAGTTTCAAACTTCAAATATCATTCAACTACATGAATAATCCAAATGGCTAATAATGCCTTTCATAAAATGAACTTTTCCTATCAAATAAAGTGAAGACCAGTAAACCCAGCAGATAACAATTTTAATTAAATGAAGAACATAAAAATGGCAATAAATGAAGTCGATAAACTCGTTGAATTACTTTGTTTGAGGGTTAACCAGTTGAAAATTTGCATTAAACTGAAAAAAATTGACTTGAAGAGTTTATTTTGTTTACAAGAATAGAATCATTTGTTTATTTAATTTAATCAACATTGATGTTTAACTATACAACTAGACAGGTTGCAAGTGAAAAGATGGAAAAAAGATTAGAAAGAAAAATTTGAATGTTCAATTGTGTGATAAATTGTCATCTTGCTAAGCCTAAAAGGTAAATTGCGAGATAGAAATGGTAAACATTTGAAAGGGCTAAATTTAAATGAGCATTGGAAAGGGAAGATTGAACAGAGAAATGAGTTGAAGGTGAAACAGAGGGAAGAGTCGATGAGGCTGTGGAAGTGGTTGAAATTGAATCATCATCGCGTTCACCTTCATCGTCACTTCCATCATCATCCAAAGGAAGTGTCATTGATTGAACATGATCATGAACATATGAACGTCCATCAAGACCTTCACCTTCATAGATTCCATTACCAGGAGACTTGTGTAAACCCGAATCCAAATTGGCTCCAGCATCGGTTGTTACACTATCCACCGTCTCTGTTAACCGATCTCTTGGTCTTCTGTCCAATAAAGGTAAAGATGTTGATGGTGGCAACGACGAGGAAGTAAACGCCTTTGAGGTTAAACTAAAAGATGAACTTGACCGGCGAACATGAACATTCACTGTTACCTTTTCCTGTAACTTGGAACCTTTAGATTCCTCAATTTTGTTTACTTTGTTCAATCCAGTGGTACTTTTATTTGATTCAAAAGATGATGCTTGGGAATAATTGTTTTCAATTGAATCACCTTTCCAATAATCCATTTCTTCCTTTAAACTTTGCTTCAAAACATTGGCTAAAAGTGATTCATATGATGGACAGCTTGATCGGTCAACTTTGTCAGAGTAAAGGTCAGTTTCATTGGCAAGATGGCAGGATTCATAGCATTCACTTGGAGGACCATAAGGTATGTTGGAAGAATTTCTAAAGTATGGAATTTTTGGATCTGTAAAACAAAAAAAAACCGGTAAACTGGTTAATATAAAAGTGATTTGGGTTTGCAAAGCGAGTCATAAGTCAAAGCTTTATCTTTTGCTAAACAGTCATCGGTTAAGGATTAAGAAAACAATGAAACCAAGATTTAATGTTCTCGATGTTTCTTTGATTTCTGGTTTTCCTTTTTTCTCTGGTGATTGAATTTAAATTTTGGGTAAATTTTTGCCTGCTTTCATGGATTGATTCAGGACCAATAAAATGATGGTAAAGCTAATTTTAGTAAACTTGTGTAAACACAGTGTTACTATCCAAATAACATGCTAATTAACTTTTTAATTTAATCCCTTTTTACGCAATTTATCCACACTGTTTACAGTATCTTGTAAGCTAAACTTTGAAAGGTAAACATTTGGTTCAACTGTGCTTTACCTATGCAAATAAAAACGGGTTCACCGGCATAAGTTGTGGCGGGATGAAGATGAGGACACTTTTGTTCCACTTTTTCACAAAAAGATCGACAAGGTTTAATGTAAATGCCATCAAAATAAAAGGGTAAAACCATTGAGCAAACCCATTCCTTGTAAGCTTTCTGTTGGAAGAAATGAAAGTAACAAAAAGTGTGATTACATGAGAAATGGCAGTTAGACACTTTTCCCATTTACAAATTTTCTGGTTCAACATTTTGCGTGACTTTTGTCTTCTGTTTTTTTTATCATTTCAAATCCTTTTTAACTAATTAAATCTCAATCCTTTCACTCATCAAATCAAACTTACCTTACAAGCTGAGCAAGTGCCTTTGATGGAGTAGGAATCACATTTATACCTTGACAGTAACTCTTCAAATTGGCAGTAAATTTTTTTAGCAAAAGAGTCTAGCAGGTTGAGCTCTTGGAGCACATTGACACACAGTGAGGTGTTTGATGAGATTAGTTTAGCCCAAGCATCGTCTGATAATACATTGACCAATGGATAGCGATCACAATGGGCCAAGTTGAAAGATTTAATCTTTTCAATTCGTTTATTTGGTTTAAACGAACAAATTGAATCGATTGTCGAATTGTCAAGCAAAAGGCACTCAGCATAATTGTAGCTTCTCATCATGTGAAGATAATCTTGCATCCAATCTAAGGTATCGTTAACAGTGTTTGACCCAGTGTAACCACAAACAGATGGACTTAAATTGTCAGACATTCGTCTTGGAAGTGGATGAGTTGGCCACATTGAAATACGATTTTCACTAATTTTCGATGTTTTAGTTGAAGCTGTTGAAGGTAACTTTGAATCATCTAAAATAATTGTATCACTTAAACGGTCTTTAGATGAAACATCATCCAACATTGAATCAGATGGTTCAACTGGCTTTTTGGGTTTTCCTGGTTTACCCTTTGAACAACCATTTGGCTCGTTTGGACAGGTTGCTCTTGCTTTTGGATGAACCTTGTTCCAGACCTTTTCCTCGATCCATGGACTGCAATGATATTTGAAAATGTGATTACCTTCATAAGATGATGATGATGTTGGTTGATCTTTTGGGTTTACCGTTGATTTGGAGTGAACAGAATTACCGGTTTCATTTGATGAAGTTGATGGTTTCATTGAGCTGATTACAGGTTGAAAAAGGGGAAAAAGACTTAACATTGTTAATAAAATACACATTAAAGGGTTTGGTACCAATTGATAAGCTTTTGTCAATTTGATGTTCATATCAACCAGCTATGATTACTGAGGTCAAAGTGATGGTTAACCATCAACAATTGTAATAGACAAATATTTATTTCAATTATTTCTTCTTCTTTTGGTTAACAATTTAACCAAAAGATTGAACCAACAGTCAGACTTGAAAGGGAAGAGGTTAAGAAGGTCGATCACAACAATGATTTTGATTCACTGTTTTTATGATGGCTTTTCGTTGATCACTCCGAGTATTGATTAATCTTTCTGGTAAATAATCATCTTCTCTTGTTGATTAACATGAGAGAAAATGAATTTTGTTGCAATTTTAATCACTAAATTCAATTCTTGTTTTTTTCCTTCTCTTCTTTCACTTCTTGAAAGATGGAAGAAGAAAAGGGAAGAAGAAGAAGATGAAAAAAAACTAATCTAAAATGATGGCAATAAAATGGGAAGATGAGAACTGGGAGTTAAGAAAAGGATGCGGAAGATGAGTAACATAGCAACCATGTTTATCCCTTCATTCAGAGGAATTGGGTTGAGATGAAATGTTCATCTCTGGTCAAAATTGATGAAATGAGAGGAGAAAGATGATGAAGGATGATGAAGGATGCTGCGCACCATGAAATTCAATTTTGTTTACTTTTCATCTTTTCTTTCATGAAACAATCATTTTATCAAAATTGAAAAACCAAATTAAACAATTTTAATCAATCAGGTTCGAGTTTAAATTCATCCTTTCCTCAACAATTTCAATCATTTCAACCAACTTTCATCTCAACCTTAAGATTGAGTTAGGAATAAAAATGGCGAATTCCATTACTTTATCTTTTATCTTCATCTATTCAGATCGATTTCATTCAGATGAACATTTTAATTACATGTTTCCAGTACAATAATTTCATCCAAAAATCAATTTGAAAACAGATTTTCAAAGATCAGGTTTTAAACTTCAACAAATCAAATCGTCGAGTCTATGAAACAATTGAATTGGAAAATGTTTGCTTTAGATTTGAAGAGACTAGAAAATTAAGGAATAATAAAAGAAATATTCATGGAGAAATTAAATTATCTGTTCCACTGATTTATATTTTGGTTTATAATCCAAAGAATAGAGAAAATGTAATAACATTTTGATAACTCATTGTTAGAGCAACAATTGAACGTTCTTTATGCTTCTGGTTGAAAGTAAATTGGATTAAAGCAATGGCAGGTAATCTTGATTATTTTGCTTTTCTAGGTCATAATTAGTGTAGATTAATTGATATTTATCTTGCATTTCTGGTTGTCAATTAAAGGGTTGACAAGATATGAAAATGATTTCTTTGTAATCGATGTATTATTTTACATGCCCACTGTGGCGTCACTATTGAGCAAGTTTGCTTATTTTCACTTGAATCTTGTTTTCCTCTTATTATCATCTGTGTCATCATCTTTTCTCCTTTCTTCTTACGTTTTCTTCTTACGTCCCAATTTATTTAAGTTTGTAAACCTTTGCCCATCATTTCATCATGTAATTTGATTTTACCTTGTATTCAGGTGACTTCTAAAATCATCTGGATTCATCTAGATATGTTTATCCCAATAATTGCTGTGTCATTATTTTATACTTCAATTGAAACACTTCATCTCAAAGCTCAGTTCTAATTTTATTCTTCATCGTGCAATTTGCTTTATCCTTACATTAATCTACTTAGTCTCTTATTTTAGACCAGTGCTAGGGTCTCAAAATGGACTCAACAACAAATGATCCTAACCAATTCTCAACGTATGATCTTTCTTATTTGTCCAATACCACAGCTGATTCAGGAAATGTTGTTTACCTTTTGGTGTATGACCTGTCTCATGGAATGGCCAAACACTTTTCCTTAATATTTTTAGGTTTGTACCAGTTTCAGCCCAAAGCAAAGCCTTTTTTATCCCTTTCAACTTTGCGATTTTACCTCAATCAGCTGTTCACCTGACTTTCTTTTCTTTCTATTGAATAGGAAAACAAATTGATGCCATTTACCACACAAGCATAGTTTATTTTGGAGTCGAGTATTTTTTCGGACAAGATGGTATCTGCGCGATGCCTTACAGTGTAAGACAATTAGTAATTTACCGACACAGTCTTTAGAGGCTAGAGATTATTGGCATTATCATTTTGGCGCAAAACAATTTTAGCAATATTATGTGTCATTCAAATCGTAAAGTTCTGTACTAATTTTTCTATTGTTTTTGGTTTTCAGGATGGTTGTAATAACATGGGACGACCAATTTCCAAGATATGTTTAGGGTATTCAGAAATACCTCTGGTGCTCTTCCAAGAATACATAAGTACCTTGAACTCGTCTACATTCGGGTATGAATTTTCGTTACATCTTTCTTTACTGCTATGTTGAACTAGTTGAATGATCAATTATCTTTCATTTCTAATCGGTCACTTGGTAAATAATGAATGAAAGTTGCAGAATCAATGATTCAGGATTATGGATAAGTTTAGTAAACTATTTTTTAGGTTCATTCAAATCAAATTTGATGTGTCATGTAGTGAGTAGTTAAGAGAACTATAGATGGCGTTAGCTGAATTAATTGAAATAAAATCATGAAAATGGTTGCATTATAATCAACTGTCATCTATTTTACAAAAACTCATCCAGAGTCAGATTTTTTGACTAACTTTCGCAATGTATTTTCATTTGATTGTAATTTAGTAACCATAGAGTCTCTTTGAATGTTTCTCACTCAAGTAGAACATAATAAACCCGAATTGAGATACGAGCTTTTGATTCATTCAATTCAGTGAGTCGTTTGGATATTTTATTCAACTACAGCTTTAGTTTTTGCTAGTTAAACATTTAATTTCGAGTCGTAGATTGCAGGTTAGCATGAGACATATTTATGGATAGTTTCTTTCAATTTCATTTGTCAAATGCATAGCAACTTCGTTAGATGTTGCCAAAGTTTGTTGTGGAACTTTTTAGTACCCTTGAAAACTTCAAAAATAACAGAAAATTATTAAATTAGAATGTTGTAGTACCAAAAAATGGATTCTTAAACCTTGACAATTTAAACATAATATTAATTTTTTCTTTTATTTTTTCACATAGCGTTGGCACCTATGATTTATTCAAACATAATTGTAACAATTTCAGCAACGAAGTGGCTCAGTTCCTGACGGGTGTTGGAATCCCTGAAGAGATTATAAATTTGCCTTCTGAAGTTCTTTCTACGTAAGAATTTTCTTACTTTATGGTCAAGGTGGCGATGAAAGCTGAGCTTAATTGAATTAAGCATAAATTTCAGTCATTCACTGCAAATTGCTTTGATTTCAAGAGGAAAAATTTTGATCAAATTTTCGTGCAACTACTTCTAGTGTTACTTACCTCTTTATAAATCTCGTTAGCCTAATTCCATTCTGAGATTTAGTCTCAGTTTTAACTTGCTCTTTGATATTTATCTTATTTTTGCTTCATTATCTCTATATCAGTACTGAATTTTTAGATTTCTTCCTCTTCCTCATATTTTTCTTTGGATTCACATCTTTCGAGTATCGACTCTTTTCTATCATCATGAGGCAAATCTCAGCTTCCAATCCTCTTCTCTTTCCCATCGACTCTTATTTATTCATTTTTAGAGTACAGCGAATCTATTTTTGGTTTCTTCATTTACTTTTTCCGTTCCTCAAACTTTTTTCTGTCTTCTCTCTTTTTTCTTTCTGCATTTTCTTCTCTCTTTAATCTGTCTACTATGGAGTATAGCTACATTCGCCTTACTCAGAACTTTCTCTACATCTATTCCTATTTTCTTATCCTCCATTCCCCTCTTATTTCATTCTATCTGTCTTTGTCTCTATTTTCCTCTGTTTGCTTAAGACTTTTCATCCTCTTTTCGTCGCGTCTATTTTCTCATCCTCCCTCAGTTTTACATCATCGACCAGCCTTACCATTCGAATGAGCATTTTCATCTTTCATTGAATTAATCTGTTTGTATCTCTCTTTTGGTTTAAACAGAAATTTTGGGCAAATTCTTTCCCGTTATCAGCGTCCATTAGAGAACCAGATTAATCAAAGTGTTACTTCTGGTAATTCATTTTTAAGTGATCCAAGCTACTTCCAAACCTTACCCGATACTCCTTATAGCAACAATTCAAATAGTAGCTCTGTTAATCAACCAAACGGACCTTTGTTATCTTCAATTTCTAATCCTTTTGAATTACTGTTAAGTCAACAACCCAGCCGATTGGAGAACAAGAACATGTCAGACCCTCAGGGAGACTCTACGGAAAACCAGGAAACGACAAAAGGTATGTTATTAATTAAAAATAATTGTATCCATAGAATTAATATCTAAATTAACCTCATTGCAAAAATTTTACTTTTCCAATCAACTGACCTTACCCTTGAAATTTTATTTTTCATATCAATCACAAAAAATTTTAAGAAAAGGAGGAATCAACAGATCCAGATTTATCCGATGATAGAGTGGAAATTAAACCCAAACGGAAAGCTCCAAAGTACAGTGACCCTCCTATCGTCTATGCTGATGTCGACGTAAGTATTTTCAATTATTTGTTAAATTACATTTATAATATTCTAACATTACTTTGGCAATTTTTTCGTTCTTATTTCTATCAGGGCGTCTCAGCAGTCAAGAAGATATTGGAACTTGTTGGAGATGCATTGAGTGAGGAAGAACGACATCTCATGGATGATTGGACTGATTATCTTAAAACTTCTGGAGAAGCATGGAAAATCGATGATGATCATCTAAGCTTAATCTCTCGGCTACTTAGCGGTGAAGATGGCAAATTTCCACCGAATGTTCCTCTCTTGACTCTTGAGATTCTTCAATCAGCAGCATTGAAGGATGACTTTGTCTTGGCTCTTCATGGTGATCGTAAAAACCATCGACTCATGAGCTACATTTACAAAATAGAAAGTTTAACTTTAGCCGAACAAGAAGAGATCGCTAAGCTTTTATGCAATTTTTGTTTTCAACCTTGTTCATTTGACTGGCTAATGTACATATCAGAATGGACTGAACCTGATGGATCACCAGCAAGTAATAGCAGAGTAACTATCAGGGTAGCTGTTCATACTCTTCTCAATGATAAATTAACCACCTTACAAAAGGTTGGAGTTGATTTAATCTTTAACCTCTCATTGAGAGAGCTTTTTGAAGAATCAGCTACAGAACTGGCCACCGCTGTTCTTCAATATCTCCACTTGAGTAATTTGGACGAAGATAGAGGTTGGTAGCTTAGCTTTGACGTTTTTTATCACTTTTAATCTGAATTTGCAAAGTTCAATCACATTTCTATTTCTTGGATGTAATGTTTCTTTACTAATTTAACCAATGAGAACGTACTAAGACAATACAGTGAAAAAAGAGAAAGTTCATGAAAGACTGACAAGAAAGATGAACTAGCAAGTCAGGTAAATGGTTAGTAGAAAAGCTGAAGTTAATTGAACAAATCTATTTTTATCATCAACATTCACTGACAAGTGCCAAATATGTTTAGTGTATAGTTTTCATTTTACTGAAAGCTTTTTCTCTTTTTCTTACATAACATGAGATTTTTTTTGCAAATTCAAAAAGTTCATTTAAAAATACAAATTTATCCCGATTAATCCCTGGTATTTTGTTTATTTACAGTGTTCCTTTGTCTCACAGCCTTAGTAAGATTCATGGCAATTAGCCTCAATGAAGTACCCGCATTAACTCAAATGCTTGGACCCGATATCAACAAGTTCCGTGGTACCTCAAAGCGAATTGATGAACTTGTTGAGCAAATAAACGTGAAACTAGCTGCAATAAACGCTAAAGCATCTGACGACTAATCCTATGTCTTATCAACTTCCCGTTCAATTGAAGAGAAATTATAAACCATTCGAGTTAAAACATTGATTTTGGACAATTTTTGCCCTAGTACTAAACGCAATATCAAGATGAATTCAATTTTTATTTCCTTCTTTGCCAATAACGAAATTTTACTCACTATCTATCCCTTTTTAATCAGCATTTCTTAACTGCATTGGAAACCAGGAATCAAATCGATCAAAAAGTGAATGTTTATAAATGAACAAGAATAAAATCTTTCAACTTTTTTTCAAATTTTCAGCTGTAAGCAGATTTTAAGTTTTTTTAAGCCTTTACACAAAAGTATTTAAATGAAAGAAATATTCCCAAAATATAAGTCCAAAACGATATTTTTATAATGTTAAGGAATCATTCAATGATGATAATGATGAAGAATCTAGAAACATCAATAATCCTTAAAAGCAATCAATCAATAGTTCCTAGCTTTTATTAAACTCCAAACCACAGACGAATCTTTAAAATGACTTGCAAATGCTATTGAGCAAATTGGTTAGTAACCCATGAATAGCTGAAATTTTTAAGTTCTTACAAGATTCTATGAATAGGACAAACATGTTCATCCATGATTATAAATTAATTGTAATTCTTTATTGGCAATTACCATTTACGGAGCCTACGAGACTCATGGACACAAAGCTTCCATGCTATAAACTCATTCAATAGGACAGTTTTGACGTAATTATTTAAATTATTTAGCTTTAATTAAATTTTATGACTTAAATTTATATTACAAGCGATAATTGCTGTCACATTTATTAAATGATTTACGATTTACAACTGTAAATCTTACATGAATTTGATTTCATAACCTAAAACTGCTCTTATGCACTATACTAACAGTCCCTATTCTTGTAACCAATCATATGGTTTTGTGTTATTCATTGTAATCATTCGGTGTGTTTTGGTGTTTTCACTAATAAAGTTAATGATTAAGTTTTCCAGTTTGCTAATTTGATCTTTTTAAAAGATTTGTGTTTTTTCTCAGTATCACCAGAACCGAATCGAGGTTTGGTTTTCTTAACCACCCTGACTCTAAATCTGTTTTTTTGGTTTCCAACTGGGAGATGAACCTCAATGAAGCGTCATTGGAAAAGAAGCTCAACTCTTGTGTAAACACTCAGGACAGTATTCAATCATTATCGTTATGGATACTTCATCATAAAAGTTACCACAAACGGATTGTCCAACTATGGGTGAAAGCTTTAGAAAAAGGTACTTTGATATTTCTTTACATTTTGTCAGAGTAATATTGAGATTGCAAGTTATTTGAATTCAACTGTAGTTGTCAATGGTGCAATATCAAGTTTTAGGTTTCATTCTAATATTGATTTCTTTTTCTTATTTATTATGTTTAAGAATATTTTTGATAATTTTGACATTTAAAAAAGCTACAAAAATCACCCGCTGTAGAAATTCGAAAACGCTTAATTTTCATAAACATATTTTGCTTTATCAGTTCGAGTTATCCAGTCATATAAAGCAGATCGGCGTTCTGATACTTGCCCTTACCAAAACTCTTCTATTTAGTTGAGTTATTTACTGGTAACATTAATTAATATGGATTTGATTAGGTCAATAGAAGTCAAAAATTGATAGCTGTAACTTTTCTAAATTGTTGTAAACAAATTTATTCTTATGTACTCGTCTGTCATTAATTCTAATTATTTCTATTCCTTTTTCGCTCAGGTAAAATTTCTCATCGATTGACGCTATTTTATCTGGCCAATGATGTTGTCCAACATGCAAAAAAGAAAAATATACCCGGTTATTTACAAGATTTCGAAGATGTCCTTAGAGAGGCTATCCTTTTGGTCAAAGATGAAAAAATAAGACCGAATATCAACCGTGTTCTCAATATATGGCAAGAGAGAAATATTTATCCTCTCGAATTTGTGGACGAGCTTCGTGCGCTGTTAGTGGGTTCTTCAATAGCAAAGGCAGCTTCTGCCTCCAAAATTGTCGCGGAGTTCAAACTATCTCAACTTATTGATAAAATAAAGCGATCTAAAAAAATTGAAGCTGTAACTAAACAAAAAATCGAAGCCGTTAACTCATCACGGATAGATGCTCTCAGCAAAGAAGTATTAAATAATTTAAAAGATAAAAGTCATGGCGAACAATATAGTAAAGACTTTGACGATGCAACTAAATTAATGGAAACTTTGGTGACCACATTGGAGAAGGAAATTGCAATTCGAAATGATCTCATTGAATACCTTGAAAAAAGTGAAGTTTTTTATGAAACTCAGAAAGGTGAAGCTAAAATTGTCGCAAATGCGTATAAAAACTTTGCTCAAAGAGTTAAAAGTGTTGCGAAAAAATTGACTGAATCAAAAACATCCTTACCATCACCTATACCATCTCCATCTACTGATGCACCGTCACCGACAAACTCTGATGATGGTCCACAATTACCTGGAGCAGAAGGAACAAACGGTCAACCTAGTAGTCTAGATAAAAGATTATCAAACCTTATGCAAGGAATGCCGTTAGTACCAAACAGCTCTGTTGCCCCACCAGTTGAGCCAGTGTATGCTCATCCAGCTCCTGCTGCGCTACCACCTGCTTTACAGGCTGCGATCGGAATTAATCCAGCTCTTGCATCAACGCTTGATTGGGTGAGAGTGGTTTTGAAATCAATTTTATTTCCAAATTTCGAGTTCTTTTCTATTCCTTTTATTCATTAGTTATTATTTATTGGTCTACAACTATTCACAAGCAAAGTTTAATTTATAATTTCTTATTCATTTTAGACGGCACTGGGAGCTTCTCAGCCACCATTGCAATCAACTCTTCAACTAGCATCAACATTACGGCCACCGCCGCCACCACCACCTCCGCCTCTACCTCCATTACCAAATATTGGAGACCCTCTTAGTGTAAGTTTCATAATTCATTAGGACTCAGATTATGTGTGAAACTTATATATATAGTTATAGCTTCTTTCAAAGCCCATTTTCCTTTCAATAAACTTCTTGAACAATCGATAGTTTATAGCCTAGATTTTGCTTGAAAATTTTATTTATTACTGTTCTAAACAGTTTGTCATTCATTGGTAATCAATTTAATACTAATTTTACTTTATTTTTTAGATGGTTGGTATTCAACAACCTCCTCCACCACCACCACCGCCGCCTCCACCAATTCCAACCGTTGGAGCTGCAATATTACCTCAGGAAATTTATCAAACCTATGAATATGATTATTATAATCAAATAAATCAAGTTGCCCTGGCAAGTATGGTCTCAGGTGATCTCTATAAAGCTGAAAATGAAACAGTACAACCTATTCAAGCGGTGATCTCTTCGAGAACAGATTCCGAGATACCAACTGAGTCGTACAAACCGACTTTACCAATCGCACCTATTCAATATGATGGCTACCTAGCTAGTCAACAGTCTCATGAAAATTTTGAACCTTCAGATATGGAACTTGGCAATTCAGATGACGAAGAACCTGTTTCTCGTGTTCAAAGTCAACGATTTTTAAAAATTATCGAAACTCAAAACTCAGGAGGATTTGAAGAGGAGCAACTTAATTCAGGTTCATCAATGAGCCAATTAGTTGGCTCTGAGAGTCTCAACCAAGTTTCTAATAACTCACCTCATAAACAATTTGACCCTAGAAATCAAAGTAATAACCGTTCTCGCTTGACACCATCAAGGCATCATCATCATTCGTCCAGAGATAATCGTAATATGGAACCTCGATGGATGAGCCCAGGAAGACCAAACTCGCAATACTCTGGACATCCACCCAACTCTTATCACACAGCTCCAAATAGACATTGGAAAACACCATCACACGGCTCTCGTGGCTCTTTCAATCGTCGCTTTTAGATAAATATTTGATAAAAGTGAGCTGGCAAACCAAATATCTTGTCAAAATTTTCTTAAAGCTATGATAAAAAAAGAGGAAAATAAACCATTCTCGTCATCCATCGTTCATGATATTAATAATACAAAAGAGCATGAAAAAATTTCCATTTAAAACAACTCAATGAAGGTTCTGTTACCCAAGCCAATCAATTTTCATCTATAAATAGCCATAACAAAATCATCAATCGGAATTACTTGTTGAGTTGTTTTCACTTTTTTCTAGACCTGGTTCATCGTTTCATCTTTATAATTTCCTTACTCCTTCCCTTTTCTCATGTACCTTTGCTCATGTTGTTAACTAAAAGCTCCTAACTGAGTAAAACGTCGTCATTGTCATTGATATTATTATACACTGAATCATAATCATCATCATCATCACCATCATCATTTTCACTAACTTCATTTATTGTTCGGTTTTCTTAGCAAGTTGAGGAAGCTGAAAATCTATGTAACTCGATTGATCGATTTAAGCAAGATGGGCTTGGACCAAGTTTAAATTGTTGTACAAATTACTTTTCACAAAAAAAAATGAAACTGTTATTTTCATTTTAACAGCTATTGCATTCACTTTCTCTCCTCCACTTTCCCTCTCTCCAAATTAATACCTCAAACCTCTTGAATCTTCATCCATCTTTGTAGTACTCCCATGCAATACAAACTTATGAGCGTGTACAAATAAATTAATACTGAAATTTATACCTGTCTATTGTTATTTGATCCCATCATGGGTTATGTCACCGTTTTTTTATACAAGCAATCAAAATATCTGTTCACGTTATTGTCTAACAATATTGTAAGAAATGAGATTCAGTTATTTTAAAAAAAAACCATTAAGCACCTTTTCAGTTATACTCTAAATCGAAATGTACATTAAAATTGAATAAATCAATCATCCAAATGACGTAAATTCAGAAAATGGCATTTGAATTTGTAAGCTTTATTTAAATAATCAGTATAAAGAAGATAATGTCTTTTTTTCTTAATAATACATTTATTTATTACAGTCAATTCACATTGAAAAAAGCTAACAAAGCTTTCGTTTGTCAGAATGAAAAAAAGTCTCCCAGTTTTAAAGATTGAATATCAGATTTAATTATCAATTTTGGACACAAAACCAATTACTTCATGAGCATATCTAATTTCAGTAAAAAAATTGATCAACATGAAACAAGAAGATTCTTGCTTACCGTGGTCAAGATTCAAGAAAATCACCTTTGGAAAGAAGTAAAATTTTCTTGAACAAACAATGTTAATAACAAATGTATATCCAAAAATGCTTGATTGCTAGTTAAATCTGACTTTCAATGTTTAAAATTATCATCAATTTTCAATTGGGACAAAGTCACAAGTTTTACTTTTGCCAACCTTTTTCAATATGAATTGACTTTAGTGTAAAGATTCAACATAATGGTCACAACAAACAAAAAGATATGTTCAATTACTTTAATGCTTTTAGCTTCAAAATAATTTCTTCAACAATTTAACGATTCAAAGTGATTGTTGGGATTGTTTACAAGTGTAAGTGTAAAGTGTGGTCAATTTAGTTGCAATTTACAACCGAAAAGTGTTAATTCCTTAATTTTTGTTGATATGATTGACATTCCGATTGAGAGATTGATTGATATCCTTGTTTTTTGAATTGATTAACGTCTTTAATACAGTTAGGAAGAAGGAGAAGGAAAATTGAAAATAATTTCATCTAATAACCAGGGAATAATTGATTAACCAGAGACGAAAAAAAGATTGGCCATAACTTCATTTCCATCCAAATGTTGGGTTCGTTAAAAAAAGTGTTGCGGCAAAAAAGCGCATTTCTTTTCAAGTGTTTGCACAATTTTCACCTCACAATTAGAGTAAAAAGTTTAATCACACAATTCAGTTTTGCTTCTTGATTATAACTAAAACTGTTATCATGTCTTTTCCTTCACCAAAGATGACCTTTCAAACCAATGTTTCAAAGCTCCATTGGATGGAGTTGCTTGTAAATGTGAAAATTGTTTGAATTTTGGTGTTTCCAGTGTTGGCGAGTGTTGACAAGAGTTGACTGGAAAAGTGCAGAAAACGTTGAAATGATTGTAAACAAGTATAATGACGAGTAGAGCAAGTGATTGAAGGATCGATGGGAGAAACGGATTGACCAATGTTAATTTGTTTAAATGATTGTTGCACTTTCTAGTGGATGGTGAAAATGCTGAAGATGATATACGATCCGGATAAAGGGAATTATCTTCATCTGACAGAAATTCAATGTTTCCATTTGAAGTGTAGGTTGTATTTACAAGTAAACCAAGGCTTTCCCACTGTTTAAGACATGTTGACGATGTAATTATATGCTTAGGACAGTGGTCAAGTGTTTCTTGACCTTCACTAATAATCACAATTTGTTCAGCTAAGTTGGCAGCATCAGAACCACAATACCTACTAACAGGATCAGTGGTGCACTTTCGGTGGTTTTTATAGTTGCTAACAAGGCAAAGCAAATTCCAGCATGAAACCAAGTCAGGATAACATGGACAGAAGAAAAAGGAGAGAAAAGGTGAAAAAAGATTAAAATTTATTTCATACAAATGACAATATTCAAAGTGTTGGTGGCAAATCAAGTTAAATAAAAAGTGATTAAATTGAATTGGAAGGAAGAGGTGAAAAGAGAAACGATAAAATCAATTCTTGATTCTTGTTTAAGGATAATGAGAAAAATAAATTTGCTGATTGCCCCAAGCTTGAGTGTTCACATTTACCAAGCTTTTTACCTTAATCAACGATGGTTAACCTAATGTTTAATCAATAAAAACAATAGTCAAAATGAGAGGTTAAAAGACAAGACACACTTCAACCTAGCTTTATGTCAAAGGTTGATCATTGGATTTGGTCTGTTTACCATTACTTGAAAAAAGCTGCAATATTGGCCTAAAGCCAATTTACTGAATTAATTTTCCTTTTCTTATAATTAAATTGTTCTATGTTAAACAGCCATTAAACAGTCTCATTGAACCTGTAGATGTAAACTTATTTCATCGAAGCAACCTTTCAACATTTACCAACGTTTCCAGCGATTTTTCATGATTAATGATTCACTTTTTTGTCTAAAATTGTTACCAAAAAAATTGACTGATTACTTTGTCATTTCAACCATTGGCGAGTCAATTTTGTGTACAATTTACAAGGTTTTGCCTAGTGTTTAACGATCAAATTGAATGGTTTAAAACATTTATCACATTCAATCGATATTTGTTTCCCATTAAACCCTTAATGGGAAAAGTGACAATCAAAATAGTATAATAATGGCTCATAATTTTAAACTAAAACCTTTATCCTGTTAAACTATCCTTTCATCTGATTAACTCTTTTAATCATTTATTCATTTATTATCCAATTTTTTCTGTATTTATTCAACTTCTTTTACTGCTTTCGAACCCAAATTTATCTCTTTTTGTCCATCAATTTGATTCCTTTTTTTTGTGTCTCCTTTCCTTTTCTTTACAATAATACCTAATCAATCAACTGGTTAGGTGTGAACCAATCAAAGATGAAAAGTCGAAGTAAACTCAAGGTTTTACCTGAAATTACTCCAAGGAATTGGGTAAAGGTGAACAAAATAGTCGACTTGGTTTAGAGTAAGATTAATAATAATGAATAGATTTTCACCTGTTTGAAAGCAATTACATTTAAATGAAGCTATTGGAGTTGCTGATCGTTTGGATGACATTATCGAGTTGAAAATGAATTGAGAAGAGTGAAAAAAAGAGAAAGAAAAACGATTAAAATGAGAAATCTTTGTAAATAATCAGATGGAATCGTCACATTGATCAAATTGTGAAATGAAAATTTTCTCAAAAAGTCACATTTTCCAATTCAATCATCTTGGTTAATGTAATGGAAACTGATTTTTTCACCCAGTTATTTATTAAAATTATTAATCAATGGTTGATAAATATTTGAAATGAAAAAAGGTAATCAAAGGAAAATGAAAAGGTAAAAGCTAATCGTTATTGAAACCAGTCATGGATCATGATTTTCAGTTATAAAAGTGTTTAAAATCAATCTCAAGAGTGACTATTATTAAATGATTAACCGTATTCAATTGATTAACCCTGACAAACAATTGATTAATTGATTATAATAAGTGCAAGTTCAATGTGGTTCATCATTGATTCAATGGTCTTCTAGCTTATTTGGGTTGATAATGAGAAAGTTGATGCGCAAACGATTGACCATCAAATTGAGATTTACACTTTTTGGCTGCTTTTCCTGTTGATTGGGTTGATTGAGAAGATGAAAGGCATCGACCAGTGACCAGTGAAAGGTCAGGGAAAAAATGATTTTGATGAAGATGAAAAACCTTTTCCAGTCGTTTATTATCCTGTTCACCATCATCATCAATCTAATCAGAAAGAATCCAAAGGGAACCGTATTATCATTTTACAGAGTAAACAGTTATTTCTGTAGTTGGCCAATAACGAAGTTTCTGATTAATCAGACGCGCTCTCATGGCTAATAATGATTACAAGTAATCATAGTTGAATTCACAACAAGCTTCAATGGAATTGAGTCAAAATGTAATAAATGTTATTAGAAAAAAATGTTCAATCAAATTGCCGACCAAACAATTCGACAAAAGAAGAAGAAAAATCTATTCGCTTTTCTTTCGTTTTTTCCTTCAATTTAATAATTCTGAAAATTTTCTGCCAACTTCTTGTCAACCAGGATTGAATTAAGCATCATTGATCCACCAAACGAAACTTAGAAATTCAAATTCAATTTCCATCCATTTCTATGGAAATGTTTATTTTTAAAATGAAAATATTCATTGAAGGAAAAGAAAACTTTTCTAGCTTTCATGATTTACAATGAAGTTCATTGAAAAATGCTTGCAATTTAATTTACACTTGAAGTAGAAGCTAAATGCCGTCTAGAGTTTTGTACTCATTAAAGGAAACTGTTGAAAATGTCATTTCTCATGCACTAACCTGATGAATCTATCGGTAAAGGTTGAGAGAAATGAAAAATGCAGGAATCAAGAATCGAATCAGTCTTTCACCAGTTTGTAATTCAATAAGAAACCATCTGAGTTTCGTTTTTTTACATTTTCTCTGATAAAAAACTGTCATTGGATTCAGATTATCATGTTTTCTTGTTCTCAGTGTAATTAGCCTTGTTAATTAAATTAAAGAGCGTATGCTCTAGTCGCTCAGATTTTTTTGTCAATTGCTTCTCTGTGCTGCCTGTGATTTACAAATTGTATTCATCCAAATTTTCATTTCACTCTTGTTCCAAGGAATTACTCAGATTAAATAGATTAATTTACATTTATTCGAATTTTTTGTCTCTTTTCTTGAGCTGGGGTTGATTTTGGAGCTTGAATAGTCCGATGATAACTGATGTTTGCCTTTTTCATCAATCTTTGAACATGAGTTTTTGAAATATCAAATTTTTTGGCAATATATCTCTGAGATTCTGTACAGTTTTCACTAAATTTCACGAACTTTTTTAGTTTTCCTTGGGTCATTTTAGTTGGTTTCCGACCTGAACCTGATTTCCTTTCACTTGAAATACCGTCATTGGTCTGTTTAACAATGTTATATACAGTTGATCTAGAAAATTCAAGTTTCTGAAAGTAATTATAAACATCACTTGGTCGAAGGTTTGGGTTAGATTTGACGAACTGAACTATTAAATTACGCTTATCACTCGCTTTAAGACACATTTTACTGATTAATTTAATGTTTTGATAGATAAAAATTATATATTTGAAAAGTGCATTAAATTTCCGTTAATTTGAGCCATAGAATCCTTTGATTGAAAATATTTAACATTGTTAAAATTTGGTTCAAAGTTAGTCCAATTTTTTAGGGACCACTCCTTACACTGAAATTGAGAAATGCTGAAATAACAATTGAATCTTTTAATGGTTGAAAAAAGCTCAAATTGAATGCATTTTAAACAAAATAAAGTGTCCATCTTTGGAAGAAGCAGAATGAGCTGAATAGCCAATTAACAATTGATTATAAAAAAACAATGAAACACTGAACGGAAAGAAAATCATTTAAGAAATGAAAATCTAAAAGACTGATTTCAATCCCTAAATGTGTCCATTTGTGGATACAAAATTACTCCTTGTTCTAGTTACTGAGTCTGGAAATAATTAACCAATTTTTAGATTAAAATATCAACTCTATCCTAAGGCGTCTATCTTTACATGAGATGCGGAAATTTAAATGATTGCTCTTTCCTTGTTCATGAAAAGGCTCACGTAATTGAAAAGTTGATTGTCAAAATGGAAATAAATTTTTCACTGAAAACAAACAAAACCATGTTTAACCAAAGTTATCGAGTTTGAATGTGCGTCATTCATTTTTGTTATCCTGACAATCAACATTTTATTTGTTTCCAATTTTACTTCAACAAAATGATGAAAATTAATGAACGACTTATCACCAATGAGATGAGCTTCATTTTTATCACAATTTTGATAAAGGTAAACCTTGGTCAAGAGAAGCAAACAAAGGATGAAACAAAAAAGTGAAATTGCCTTTGAAAGGTCAACTTTACATGAAATGAATTGTCACTCATGAAATGTGTACAACATCATCAACATTATCCTCATTACTCATCATTTGATAAACATTATACATCATAAAGTTTTGTCGATCGATAACATTGTTACTCGTAAGAGTTGCTGGTTAACAGGTAATAACCTAAATTGAACCTAATTTGAAGATTGTTTTGGAATCAGAAAAGATGATGATGATGATGATGAAGGAAAAGGTTAACATGAAAATGGCGGTGAAACTAGCGAGACAACAAGATGGATTCAGCAAAAAGACAGGTAAGCAAGTTAATGAAATAGAAAGGTAATTGAAATGGAAGGTGGAAAGAAAAATATCAACAGGGAATGATGAAAGATGAAATCATATAACAATGATAATAATTGAGATGGATTAAGAATAATAAGATTAATGTTCAAGAATAAGGTGAACACTTACCAGCACCATAAGATTAGGTGTTGAGAGGTTGTTATATTACGATTTAGTTCAATCCTTTTCCTTTCACTTTCGTAATAAAGTTGATAACATTTGGTGTAAACAGGAGCTAATTTATGATAACATTCAGCATGTTTTAAATATTCTGTTCAATGAGATGGAGAGAAGAAAAGAAATTTTAATCGTTTAAGAAATGAAACAAATTTCATTGGTAGCTTTTAACTTTTGGTTTTTTTATTGATTCAGTGGTTCTCTTGAACCTTTCATGTTCATCAAATATCACACATTCAATTTACTTCAACTATTACTGTTTCGCAAGTCTGACTCTACATAAGGTTGCCATTGATTAGGAATTTAACCACAACATCGTGTTCTTTGAAAAATTCATTCAATTCTGCATTCGAACTTGACCGATCAAATTGACAGATCATCATTGATCATATGAAAAAGTGTTATTTTCATCAAGATAATGCTCCACCTCATATTGCAACTTTGACCTCAAAAATCAAGGAACTCAAATGGGAATTACTTTCTCGCCCACTATAAAGTCCCAATATTGCTCCATCGGACAATAACTCTTTCAGATCGAAAGAACTTTATTTTCGAAACAAAGATCTCGATAATATGAATATAATCTATTAGGTTTCAAAACATTTTTCGAATCAAAAGACTCGAACCTTTATAAAGAAAGGATTTATAACCTCGTCAATCGGTGGAAAAGATTGATTGATTTGGTGGAGTATAAACTTCCGATTGTTTGCGTTCATTCAATTTTAATTGACAATTCAAAATCACTCTTACAGACTATCTTTTACGTAACCTAATATCCTCAAGATCCTTGTTACTCATTGTTGCAACAATTGTTAAATGTTTAGAATTGAACAAGTTCCAAAATCACATGGTGTAACATCTCTCTAAAATAAAGGGCTGTTGATATGTGCGGTTTCAACTTTCAATTAACAATTAGACAGAAATTTTTTATGAAAATCTATGAAAATTTCAGGGTATTATTTATATTTGAATAATGTAGATTATAAATCATTAAGGAGGATCTGCAAATGAATAGGGAAAATCGCCTCTTGAAATATGATTGCGAATTGAACTTTTTCGAATGCAATTTCTGATTCCGAATATACGTTTTTGTTTTTTGATAAAACAAAGCGTTCGGAAGTAAAGTTCATATTATGATTCATAAATTGAATTTTTTAACAGCGGATGGATCGGATGGACACAACAATGGATTTATTATTTAACATTGAAAGTTCTCAGGCGGTTGCGTAATTTTTTTAGTCACTAATGTGAATAAACTGATAACAATGCAACCAATGTTATTTAAGTTAACATTTTGTAATAATTAAAACCACCAATTGGAGGCAATTTATTTCTTTTAACGTTTATTTTGGCTGAAATAGACAGTAAAATGAATCACTCAATTCAATTAAGCTAATTTTTTATAAAAATTTCCATTGGTCGAGAGAGTTTCCATGTCTATGTTAAGATCTGTTTCCAATAAAAATTTGGTCAATAACTTTCAATTTATCTTTAACCAGAAAAGTTTAACCCAATGAAAATCATGGCAACTATTTTGTTTACAATTAAAATGAGTCTGATAATATATTTTTGTAAAGCCATTGAATCATCTAGTTTAACCATTTTATTAATGCGAAATAATCAAAATAATTAAAAAATGTTTCTCTGTAAGATTCAAAGTGATCCTGGCCTTTGATCAATTTTCTGCAATTTTCAAATTGTTTGGCATTTTTTGCAAAAATGAAACCATCACTATATTTTTCATCATACTTGAATACGTTGATCATGCTAATATTTGGCTGGTTTAGATGGCATTTTCATCTTGTTTAAAAGTACATCAATAAATACATAGCTTAATCTAGTTTTTATACAATTTCCATCATGTTTGGCTATTTCATAGGAACCAAACCAAGACCATATTATTCACCATGCTTCATTACATTGATTATGTTAATATTTAGCTGGCTTAGACGGCATCTTCATTATTTCACAAAGGAAAATAATACTATGTGGTATTTAGGTATCTTGGCTCATTTCTTAAAAATAATGGCTGCTTTGAAAAATAAATTTCATTATTAAAATCAGCATGAAATTTTGAGTCTGAAAACGATCATTTCAGGAAAAATCGAGAACAGGCGATTTTGCAGATCCTCCTTATTACTGATGTGGGTCCTTTTCTTGAAATCAGGCGAAGTTTTAATATCAAACCATCCCTTTAGGGACGAAATTAAATTTCGATAGAAGAATGTCAAACTTTCGCAACTCGCGTATCTTTTACTTTACATTAAAATAATCAAAATTCGAGCACAATATGGCTACTGATAAGGCAAGTTCCAAAGGATAGAATATAAAAAATATCGATCTTCCACTGTTACAATGAGGAGCTTTAATAGAACCAAGCCGATCTCAATTGATTTGAGTATTTGTAAACACAAAAGGAAAATAGATTGAATACACTCAAGTGACCTGACTAACATTACTATAGAAAAGCTTTCTGAAACAGAAACAATTGTATGAACTAGATATTTTTCATATTGATATTTCTTGGTACCAAACTCGCACTTCGAACCATTTGAGGCAACCTGATATAAAAACTGTATCGTGAAGTGACATGGACGGACTAAATGCTTACCTTTAGTTAAACCCAGTTCAGAGATAATCTCAGATTACTAAGAGTAGCAATTTGTCCAGAACTTTCTCCCCACAGGTTAAATATCATTAATCTGACTTCTGGTTTTCAAATAATTGACACAAACGAGCGTCAAGGATAAAAAACATGAGTATATCTTGAACCAATTGTGCTAATTCAGATTTGATCCTCGAACAAACTCCAAGACCCTTAGAAATGATCTGGTTCATTGCAGTCACTCATATAATATCCTTCGAGTTAAAGATTTACTCTATTCAGAGTTTGCAAAGAGGATTATGTGATTTATAATCTCCAATGAATTTTCACTCAAGATACCAAACTGTACTAAATCACATATAATAAGTTAACATTTACCAAAATGTTAACTAAATAAGCGACATATCAAAAAAGATACTCGAGTTTGTGCCTTATGAAACTTTGTGCTATAAATAATAAACGAAATACAATCTTTATCTTAAATCGTGAACTCATTGTTTTCACCTATTGTATTATCCATGAATTTAGCTCAAATTTTCAAGCTTTGCTCACCTTTTTCATCTCTCATCCTTTTAATCGTTTCTTACTGAGATAATTAAAGTTTCATTAAACTGAACTTTTAGTTGATAAAATTTCAAGTTTCAACTTTTGTTGAGTCCAGTAAAATATTGATTTTGCTTGTTGGAGTTTAATGGTTTCATTGAAATTCATTTTCATCATTTTGAATGTTTAATGTTAGAAATGATTTCATTTCATCTGAATTATTCATTGTTTCAGTGAAAATCTAATCCAATAGAAGGTTTTGTTTTTAAATTACGCGATAATTCATTAAAGTTAATTTATTGGAATCACTCATCTGGACTCAATAGCATGGTGAACTTGTTTCAATGGATTTGGGAGATTCATTGATCAGAATTAAAAGGGATTGTATTAGTTTACTTGGCAATCCAAAATTTCCTTTTCTTTTCTTCACATCTTCATGTTCATCTTTTTTTTCACCTTCTTTTGTTTCTCGAGTATTTGGACTTTTGTGTCTCTGAGCAAACCGTATTCTTACCTATTCTGAACTTGGATGATTTTGAACACAGTTTCTCCATTAACTGAAGTAATCCATTGAAAGTGTCCTTCTTAACGTTTGATGTAAGATCACATTCGATGAATTTATTGATGCAGGTAATGGTTCGATTTAAATGACTGATCAACACCAAGGATTTGAAGAAGATGGCCAGGCGAAAGAGAAGAGAAGAAATAATGAAAAAAAAGTATCATTAGATTAAATGGAAAGAAAGTCAGAAATGAACATTACAAACTTTTTGGATTTATCGATTATTCGTAACAAAAAAGAAACACAAGAAACAGAAAAATCTTGAATTTATTAATAAACTAAATTCAGTAGATGAAGTTTTACCTTTTCATGATTGGTTAAACTCATTAAGATAATTGCTCAAGATTGTTTACCTTTATTCAAAATGAAATTCATTTTCATCATTCTCTCATCATGATAAGAGAATAAGAAAAAAAGTCTTTTATAAAAGTTAATCAGCAGTTGCACTTGAAGATATCTTGACTTGGACATGTTATAATGAGTTTATGAAAACCATTGAGACTTGTGTGTGATATTTATTCATACATTTGATTGGCAGTCGGCAAAGTGAATAAAAATGGAAACATTAATATAGATAATTAGACTTGTTCAATTGGTTCAATCAGCATGATATGATAATCAAGGTGAAAAGCGAAAAGATAAATTAATCTTTTTTCGGTTTCGAAGATTAACTTGAATAAAATCTCATATTCAGGTGGAATCCAAGCTGAATGCTAAACAAGTGTTAACATCAACTCCAACTGTTTATGAGTAATTTAATTGGAGGAAAAGGCAACAGAGATTGAGATGAAAAAAGATTTTCCCTGAATGATGTTCATTTAAATTGAAACATTGTATTATGGAGAGTCAATGGTTTTGTCAAAATCAAGTCAACCAAGTTAATTGGTTAACAATGTTTCCTGCTAAACATTTAATTGCAACAATTTAAATTGGCGAAACTGGTTGAGAATTTCAAGAGAAGAGAAAATCCAAAATTGAACCAAATTTTCGTTGCAACGAAAGTTGACTTTACGCTACTGTTTCATCCTCGATTCATATGGATACATTTAATTATTGACTTTCTAATCATCTTTTAATGAAAGTGTTGGCAGATAATAAATGGTCCTTTATTTAATTCATCAAATTAATGAAGGAAAACAACTTTTTTCTGTAGGATTCTATTGAAAAGCTTTTCTTCCACTTCTTTTGGATAACATTATTAACTCAATTAAAAGACAATTAAGGTTCATTGGATTGGAATTTTGTTCATCATCAACCTCAACTTATTCATCAATTTGAATGATGAACATAAACGAGGAAACAATTCTTGTTGACTTGTTCACAATTTTACATGGAAAGGCAAAGCAAATTATTATCAGGCGAATAATAAATTACCAGAATTGCATCTTCATTCACTTAACTGAACTTACGTATTCAATGGAAAATTTACATTTCAAGTCAACTTCAACTTCAAGTATCACCTTTAATCATGAAGTTCATTAGATTAAATTTTGCATTCTCAATGAGAATAAAAAAAGGTTGCTTCTAAATCGCTTTTGATTGTTCCTTGACAATGTAATTATACAATTAGAAGTTCATTTTTTGTTCAACTCTCTTTCAACTTTGCACCATGAAATGAGATTTAATTTTAAGAGAGAAATGATTGCATCTGGATTGATTTGTTTCAAGCAACATGAAATATTATTCTTATATTGCAAATATAAATATAAAATTCTTATGTGCATACACTTTTCTCATGAAACATTATTCAATGCTAATAAGCTTTGGTTTTCTGTTTAAACTTGAATCAAATGTTTCAAAAGTTGGGTTCGTTTTTTTTCAAACTTTTTGATAATCTATTTGATGCTTGACTGGGTAACGAGAGTGTCACAAGGGAAATGTTGTGATGTGGAAAGGTTCACGATAGAACATGAATATTGTACAATTTTCTTGTCTTTTGATTCATTTTTTTTCTCTCCACTTTCTCTTCTTTTGATCACATTTTGTGCCCATCAACATTTTATTCAAATGAATGTTGAACTTTTTTTTCTTCAGCCAAACTTTATTTTCTTTACAAAATTTAGATGATGTTTGACACGATTGAGAAAATATTTCCAATAACCTTTTATTCACTCTCATTATTTCTACATGAAAATCATGTGTGTGCATTTTGAGCATTACAATTGGAATCATGAAAACCATCAACTCTAATTACTTGAAAAGGTTTACAAAAAAAAGAAAGATCGAAAAGAGCATTTTCTTTGTAATGTTCATTTGAAAAATTCACATTTCTCCATGTTTATTCACTTTTTGACTTTGGTTTGTTTGCTTTCAAGTTATTCGATTTCAATGATGGAATCGATTGCAACGGAACAAACTTTTGCAATGTCAATATGAAGATTCGTATATGTTGTGAAAAATCTTGAAAAGTCAACAACTCTACTTGAATTCAATAAATCAACAAATGAAAGAAAACGGGGAAAAGAGGAAAAAAAACAAGTTAAATAACATCAATAAACAAGAAATAACATTTTCTTCTTCTTCTTTTGATAACCTTTCAATAGTTTTGAAGTAGTTGTTTGATTTTAAAGTCATCTAAACATGTGTTGGTGGATATTGATAAAGCCACAGTTTTACTTGTAAGAGTTGGTTCATTGGTTTGAAAAGCAGTCTCTGCTTTTGTTCAACACCAAATTTGTCAAATGAAACATTTTCGAGTTGATCATTAATTCACTTTTATTGTAACTTTTTCCGGCCTCTAACTCATTTTACAAATCATTATCACCCATCATGGCATCTACAGTCGGTGAAATGGATAACAATGAAAAGTAAATGCAAGACGAAACATGAAATTGCAAGCCGTTACGGTTTCAACATTTGCTCATCGCAACACCTGATTTAATAATGGATCAAGAGCAGAAGAAATTTTAATGAACCATAAATTGCATGGATTCGATTACATGAAATTAAATTGACTTTGCAATCAAGCTAATGGTTTTAGAGCTAATTTTCTTAACAAATGATTTCAATCTCTTGATTAAGGTGCGATCAAGAAACTTGAATGCATCACTACCATCAAGTCAATCCTTGAACCTTCATTAGTTTCAAGAGCTTTAAATGAGAATCTTTTTTCTCTTGTTGCGTTTTATGTTCAATTTATCATTAGATTGTCCGGCCAGTATGATTGAGGCTCAATGGTTTGGGCGATTAAAATGAAAAGATGAAGAATATTAAATGTTGAAAAATGTTGAAATTCTAGTTTCTTGATGCTCAGTCAAAACTGAAGATGTTCATCTTGACCCAGAAAATTTAACTCGACTGACACTTGAATCTCAGGATATTGATATGTGCTTGAAAGATATTGGATTAAAAGTCATCCAATAAAGGTAACAGATGAAATTAAGAAACAGTAATACATTTCATTTTACTCAACTGAGAGATTAATTTGTAATTAGATTTCGTTTCAATTGCCCAAAATGTTAATAGACTTAATTTGATTGCGTCTTTAAAGCTGGCAGTTTTCTTGCAACTCTTTTGTTTCCTAAACCACTTGCTAATAGCGGTTTTATTGGCCTTGTATTAACCAACTTCATCAATCTTTAAAGCTTCTAAGGTATGACTGGTAAAGAATGGAAATAAATCAATTTAGCCCAGGGTTGATTTGGGCTTATCAACCCGTTTCCAGGCTTTTATTATATACCGAATCTTAACACCATTTCAATCGAATAACAAAGTTCAACTAGCCTAAAAATTTATATTATTTTGAAGCCCAATAAATTGCCATTCAAAAAAGTCTAATTTGGTTCCAATGTGTCGAGACTGTGAATAGCCATGCCGATTCAAAGCTGCTATTTCTAAAAACGAGTCGGAATTTTATGAGGTGCAACTGTAAGGGGCAGACATCTCAACTTTCACTGTCCCCAATCAAAGTCTTATAAACAGTTAAGTTTAAGTCTTTAAAAGATAAATGTATTTCCTTATCTTCCTTTGTTTGTCTTTTTCCTTATGACTAGCTTAAAGGGTGTTG